TTTTGCACCTGAAAATCTTAGAAAGACCGAACTGATTTGAATCAGCTGGGAATACAAAAATCACATTAATTATAGTAGTACATGTTGCCTCCCTGTAATGAGGTGAAATTGTTTTTACTTATTTAGCTCAAAATATTCCTTTTCAGAGTTAGAGGCAGTTATGTGAGTCGTGAATGGATTATATGGAAAGAAATGACTCACCAGGATAGACTATAATGCACATAGCTGTGTTGTTACAGGGAAGTACTCAATGACTCAGTTATAGAAGAGGCTGTTAATTGGAACCACTGCACATGTGGGTTTAGATGAATATCTACCCTGAACCTGGGCCAACACACTTTTTTGACACCTCTTGCTGCATGAATTACTGGTCAGATTTTGAGAAGTGCTGGGTGTCCCACCTCCCATTGAAGGACATTAAAGGAGCTCTTCATATTTCAATTTTGTCTTGCAGTTAACTCTATTTTGTTGTCCATTCTTGGCAGCTTCTATGAAGGGGATGAAGCATAAACTTCCAGTGATTTCCACTCCTAGTAGCATACCAAACCCTGAGGCTTTGCTTTTAAAATGTCTTCTAATAGTGCCTTGTTCCTTTTGTTGGTATCTTTATAATCTCCCTGTTCCAATTTTGCATCTGCTCATATAACAGCATAATACCTGTGTGGCTGATCACAGTTTACATCTCAGTTTGAGAAAGTCTAAGAAAGAATTTCTCTAATTCTATTTTCACAAGCTTTCCCAATGTTAGAAGTTTGTACTCGAGTTGAACATTTTTCTGGCCTGCTAGTCATCAGAACAAATCATGTTATGACAGTGGTTTCTGGAGCGTAGTGGTCTCCGACAGCATGAGTCTCTTAGAGCTGTCCTTGGTAGCTGGGTGCTCCTGACTTGTCCCAAGGTAGGGCAGGCTTCCTTCTGCCAAACTCCCGTGCTGTACAGGCAAACATTAGCAATCGTTATTAGTTGTGTTTTATACTTACTAGTATCAATGTGAATACTATAAGGAATATATTTCATTTTAAAATGTCTGCTTCTGGTATGAGCTTTAAAAATTAATAGTTGTGGGACAAATTGTGAAGGAAGTTTCAGGTAGATAATTTTGTTATTACGATTATAAGGAATATAATCCTGTATATATTTTGCAGACTTAACTGATATTTCAAATCCCAGAATGAGCCATCCTATTACCTATCACAGCCCCATGGATATAATCACTTGATTTTTTTCTTGTTCCATGGACTACCAACTATCTTCTCGAAGGTCATGAAAGAATATTTTGTCTTAACACTGTATGTTGATTGATTCATACCTATGTGTACATACATATATTTAGAATAATTTGTGTTTCTCTGGAAGGCAGATACCATTTACAACCTACTTATTTTCCTGTTTATTTTCATGCTCATGAGCTAATTGCATGTAGCACACTTAGCTGCTTTACATGGCAGTGTTTTGTATTTTAACTAAATAAGGCCTTTTTGAAATTGATGTTTGGCTGAATGAATTGTGTGAAAGCAGAACAGCATCTACAGGCACTGAGGATTTTACTACACAAATCCTTCTCTGCTATTACAGAAAAACACAGTTTAACTGGGTAGTCAGGTTGTGTCCATCTTTCAGAAATTAATGCATGTGTTATCTCTGTTGAATTTGTGTAAATGCATAATGTAGAGGCCATATAAAACATATCACCCCTCCCTAAAAAAAAACCCCAAACCCAAAGTTGTATGAAAATTGTTATAACAGGATATGTATCACTTTATCAAGTATTAGACAAAAAGATACATTTTCTTTTTTTATTAAGAACTTATTTATAATATGAGATATATTAAATTCTTTCCCCTGTAATAGATGCTCTTTCAGCTACAGTAGTTTTCAACAGATTTTCCTTGGGAGTTTATTGTCAGTCTTTTATTGTCAAATTAAATGAAAAAGCTGCCTGAAAACATAAAGTTGATCACTGAGCAGATAGAATATGAGATAATATGAAGCAAACTGGAATAAGTGGAGGTGTATTAAAATTCTGTTTGGATCATTTTGAAGTGATTTTGAAATTAAGTTGGAATTAACAATTTTGTTTCACTTTTTTTTTAATGCTGAGTTGGTTATCAGATTCTTGTTAATTTTCTGGAGCAAACTTATGAATGAAATATCTGTGAAAAATGAGAGAAGTGCAGAGCTGAACAGGTCAATTCTGTCAGAAGTTCCTTAGAGGTAGCTAATAAAGCTCTTAATCCTAAACTGCTTTTAGCAAAGTCTTTAACATCATGCCTTACATACCCAAACAATCCTCTGCTTGCTTTCTGCAAGGTTAAGATCGGTGTGTGACAGGATGAAGTATACAGAGTGACTTCTTCAGATAGTTTCAGGCCATAAAAGTTTTAATGCAGGAGATAAAAATACAGTCTTCTCTAGTTACCAAGTGCTTTGACACTTACACAGACATAAAAAAAAAAAATAAAGGATACTTTTAAAAGTTCACACACAGAGAGTTATGTGAAATACCTTTTTTTTTTTTTTAATAACTCAGGTGGGTTTGTGCTTCATTTTTTAAAGTGCAATATTTATATTCATGGTAGACTTTTCACTGTAAAAAGGGTGTATTTTTTAAGAAGAAATTATCAGCTCTCTTTTTGTCTCAGTTGCTGATTGTTTGGACTATATTGAAATTAAATTAAAGCGTAGCCAGTTAACTGTTGTTCCTTTTGCTAGGTGTATAACTTCCCAGCTATGCTGAAATTAATTCAGAAAAATCAGATTTATTTCAGAAAAAGTCAAGTGACAGTTATTGAATTGTTGCTAAAATCAAATGAGTTAATTCTAAAAAGGTTTCTGCCTCTCATCATGTTTATCTTTTAAATATTTGCCTTTTTCTCCAAAACAGAATTGTCTTGCGTCAAAAAATCACTGGCCTGAAGAAAGCTCTGAAGTTTCTATTATACTTTTAAATAAACAATAGTATATATTTCTTTCTTTAATGTTAAATCATGTTTAGTTATTGCATTAGGGAATGTAGTTCCTATTGGTCACATAGATTACCTGTTTACATTTACATCAAACTTACATCAGCAATTATTGTTATATTGCCATGGCTATATTACTGTTAATCTTGTGCTTGGTTGTTAATCAAAAACAATTCTAGCTAGCCACTGGTGAGAGCAGGCTAGCCAGAGGAAAGACGTCCCCAATATGGGCAATGTGAACGTAAGGAAATAGTGACCCTTGGAAGGAGACTGTTCAGAAATGTGTGAGAAGTTACATGAACCATTTCAAAAGTGGTTTCAAATACTTCCAGTTTCTAAGAAACATTATCTTTTTGTGTAAAAATTACATACATAGAGATATTAATATTTAGGCAAGACAGAAGATGTTGGTTATGATTTTAATAGAAAAGTTCATTTTCATTTTGGAAGTCTGTGTAGGTGATGTACTTTTTAAAAAATTAATTTTACAAGGCAGAACAAAGGCATTTTCTATGTGATTTCTCCTAGTTTTCTTGGGTTCAAGAAAAATAATGGAGATTGGAGGAAATAATACAGTATCTTGGAGTTCTTTAGAAATACATATAATTTTGCTAAAGTAAACACTTTCTGATCTTGATTTTATTAAATACTGATGAATGGGGTTCAGTAAGTAAGAAAAAGGGAACTTTTGCAGCAACATGAACTAATGAGACTATCTGATGAATGGTCTCTACAACATGATGTAAAGAACAGATGGAAAAAAAAAGAATGCTAATTAACAGTAACATTTAGGTTCAGTTTGAATGGAAGTAGACCAGAGAGAATGATTTCTTAACAGGTGGACTTTGACAATGTTTTAGTTGTATAGAAGCGAAGAAAGCAATTTGCTGTGGAACTCTGTAATGAACAACCAAGCAGTGATGTCTTCCTTTTTTTAAGAGTTGAAGATGACACCAAGATTGAACCCAAGGGTTTTGTGACTCTGAGAGCACAAATAATAGAGCTATTGACAGAGGCAGTGGAGAGAGGAAAAAGAAAGAATTTGGATAAAGATAATAACCACTTCAGCTCATGTTAATTGGCATATGCTCTGTTGACTTCATTCACAGCAGTGGAGGATATGGCCTGTTGAGTTCAGCTTTAATGGTAAGTTTGAGCTGACAGGGAGCTTTCAGGAAAAAATCTCACCAAAAATAGGTAGAGATGAAAGCTGAGGTTATAGATCCCGAATTCTTGCAAGTGGGCCTATATCTTGGTTCATTGAGTTGTGAAGGCAGCTTAGAGAAGATGAATTAGCTATGCAAAAGTCGAACAGAAAAAAGCGAGAGAGCCTGAAAGAGAACAGGAAAAGAGAGAAGAAACCCACTAAAAAAGCTAAAACAATGTTAAAAAGAAGAAAGAGAGACTGGAGCTTTGAAAAACAAAGTATTTGGACGAATCCTAATACTGATATTAACTATAAAAGGAAAGCATACAAACAAACCAAGAGGAAAATGAAAAATACAGTTTTTTACTCAATTTGATGGAAAGCAGATAAACATTAATTCTCTGAGACAAACATAATATAATACAGAAATTGATACAAGCGTAAACAGTTACTTCAAATAATTAATTTTCAGGAAGATGTTAGGAGGTGGAAAGATTGTATTTTCTCAGTACTGTGTATTTTTGACTTCATAGTTCAAATGTTAACATGTTTCAGTGTCTTTTATTCTTTGTTGTATTTACTTACTGATAATAACACATGTTGAAAATTTGTGAAGATTGACATTACCTTTAAATGAATATATTTAGGAAATGTGTAAAGACATTAAATAGACTATGAATTTAGGAGAATACTGAAACAAATTATTTGTCTTTTACTAGGTAGGTTTTTTTCTTTGTATAAAAATATAGACCAGTAAGAAAATGTATATAATATAAATATATATTTGTCCCATATTTTCCCAAGGGTCGTAACATGGCATTATAGTCTTCAGGTTGGTTTTAATGTCTAAATAAATTCTTTAATTAAATTGAGCTCTTTTTTATTTAAAGCTGTCTTTTGGGGAGATATTGCCTTAGATGATGAAGACTTAAAAATCTTTCAAATTGACAGGACGATTGATCTCACACAGCACTCCAATGAAAGACTTGGCCATAATACAGGTATGATATTTCAAGCTTGCATTTAACTTATTTTTCCTGTTATTTACTTCTGCATAGGAGGCAATCTGTTTTAAATGTATAAAGTCACTATAATATCTTGGGTAATATTAGTTTACACTTTTAAAAGTTACTAAACAATGAGTATAATTTTTTTTAGAATTTTGGAAAGAAAAATGTTAGAAGTTTAATTTTATTTTGGCATTTCTGATTGAACATATCTTGTTGAACTGAAGAGCAGAAGCTGTTAGGAACCATAAGTCCACTCTTCAGGTGGTCATGTGGGAGAGGAAATTGTACAAACTTTGCTTTCATTGCTATAAGTTCCCGATAGCAGAGCCCAAATGCCCTATGGAGAATATACGTGAAATCCTGGAGGTGAGACTGGGAGTCTTGGACTACAGTCTCTCCTTTGCTCTTTTTTTCTGTTCCATCGAGAGAAAGCAACACCAGAACATTTCATCCTTGCTAGAATTTGCCTTGCCTAAAAAGCAACTGTTTATCTGACAGATATTAATACGTGTTTATTTGTTGTTGACATACAGTGCATTAGTGCCAGAAGATGCAATCTGATTAGCACAGGCAGTTGGATATTCAGTCAGATGAAGAGATATTATTTATGTGTAAATATATATGTGTATGTGAGGAAGAGAAAACATAATCCATGTCTAAATGGGTGTCTGTCTAAAAATATCTGTGCTTTCAGGCTCTGATTTATAAATTCATAACTGAGAATTTGTAAACTTTTAGGTTATGGTGCCAAAAAAGCTCTTATTAAGGAAAAGTATATGCTATTAGGAAATGTATAAATGCCTAATTGAAATTTATTTTCTATTAAGCGTGTTCTATATGGTCCTGAACTGAGCTACTATTAACTTGACGGTTCCAGGTATGTGAATATAAGGATCCTTTTGAGGGATGATTAGAAAGGAATTTTTCAGACCAATTAAGCAGTTATCAATTTAACCTTTCAGTACTGATATACTTAAAAATATTTTTATACTTCCAGGTTAGATGTAATTAGACTATTTTTTATAACAACATAAAAATTTATTTTATCTCCATTTAAAGCCACTTGTTTTTTCGAAGCAGGAACTTATTTCATAATTTCTAGACGAAGACTGGGATTTAAAATGTTAATAGAGTCAGTGGTTTCCCTGTCTCCCTTTCCTCCAAACAAATAGTTTTAATGGGCTTTGAAGGTATTTCAGGTTTTGCTGACAAAATGTAGAGAGCAAGGTCAGTCACTTTCCCTTAAAGTGGATGCAGCCAACAAATTTCTTTGGCCTGCTGACTTTCCTCTTTCTTCCTGCTTTTCTATTCTTTATTTTTAACTGCAGAGTTCTTATTTTGTGTGTGTGTGTGTCAATTTCTGCAGAAACAATACGCCTTTCTAAGCCATTTAAAAATAATATTTAATATTCTATTATTAAATTTTGGTTTTTTACTTGTCTTGAGATTTGTGTGCTATCTTTTCCTGTGCACCGTATCTTATGAAAGATATTGAGACATCCTATTGAGGACTGGATCAAATTTTTCTGCCTTTATTGCACAAGAGGAGTCAATGCAACTGCTATGACCAGAGGGACTGGACTTTGGAGAATAACCTCTGATAACATTAGTGATTTTGCAGTGGTTCTCAGTGAATCCTCAACATTCTTGGTTTTTCTAAAAACAGAGTTGGAGGACTCAATTTTACACTTTACATATGTAATTATTTTTCTACATTTACAGCCTTTTGATGCATAAACTAAGTTTTGCAAAGTGCACAGCCCAGTGTGCTTTTTTCCCTCTAATGTCCAAAGGAGCAAATTGCCAACAACTGCAGGTTGATATGAGGTAGCAGCTGGAAAAGGAACATAAAATGCCTGTAAAATAGAAAAAATAAATTAATTAAAAATTAATATTTTACCTTATTTACAGACAGAAGAACAATTAATTACAAGTTTGATTTCTGAGCACTTTCTGTTGTTGACCTTCACAAACTAAAGGTGACATCAGTTAGAAGGGTTAGATATTTGGGTGTACACTATCAAGATGGAGTTTTGGAGTGGCAATTTTCATTGCAACCACTGATTAGAATTCCCGAGGCTCACTCTGACTCACATTTTGTGACTGTTCTTTTGGGTAAGGTTTATCTGGCTGATTTGCAGAGTCAGATACTTAATCTGTGAGCATCTTAAAGTGTGGATCTGCCATTTTATTTGTCATTTTGTCCACGTAATACTCATAAACATTGGAAACAAAACTAACACTGAAGCTGATAAAATTGTAATGTATAAGTAATTATGAGTCCAAACTGTCAGAAGTATTCTCCTTCTCCTGCCTTATGTATGAGAAGATGCAGCAAATATGAATTATTTTTGTTAACTTTTTTAGACTGTGGTTTGACAAGGCTGTATATTACACATATAAGATAGATTAGTTATGTGAGACAATTCTTCAGTTTTTCACTAAATGGAACACACAGGCTGTATTAACACAGACATGATTATTTTTTTTCCCCCCTAGAAATAATTATAGTATAGTAAGTGGATTCTTTGGTTTTTTTCTGTTATGTCTATGACAGTTGATAGATTTTTTAATTTTTTTTTTTTAATATTTGTTTGGAATGTTTATATACCTTTTTTATAAGATGTTACCATGAGAGACAATACATTAATAATAATCAATACAAGGAATGGAATTGTTATATTATCTGTAGTGTATATTATAGTTACCATGTAACTAGTTGGAAAAGAATGTGTAGAACTATTACCTCATCTATCTAAAATGTTTTAAAAAATTTGGAAAATTTTTCTCAAGGGAGCCAGCAACTATGTGACAGTGTAATCCAAATAATTAGGCACATTGTTATTCACTGAGCAGCCACATAAACTCACTTGCCTTATATGGAATTTTCTCATCTGTAATATGATTTTAAGTTGCTGTCTAATAAATATATTTTCCACATATATATTGAAAGTTTTTATGAGAAGTTGGGAAAGGTCTTTTTAGTAGTGGTTGAATGTTTCAGTGGTCCTTTTATTTCTATATTTTTACTTTTGCTGTTGTGAAAGTAGTTTGAAAACTCTTGTTCTCTAACAGATATCGAATTTTAAAATACAACCTACTACAGATTTTTGTAAATCACAAACCTTTCTGAACAATTCTGAATGTTATATTGACTAGAACAGTACTATCAGTGCTCTAAGGTACTTGCAGCCACAAAATGTTTATAGGTGAAGAGAGTATGTGGCAGATGTATCAAACGGACACCTTTCTGCAATGTGTTACATTTCTGTAAATGGCACAGTAAATGTGAAAATCAGTTACTTGTAAGCTTAATTTTTCTTCTTTATTGATTACTGACATGACACACATATATATGCCTGCGAGGTCTCACACTGCCATGTGATGTTTCAAAGCCTTGAGAGTGCACTGGACATTTATTGCATGCTAACAAAGAAAACCAAAGCTTTCATAGTAAAATAAGTGATATTAAATTTGTAACAGTTTTGGTTGTGGGGGTTTTTTTTCTGATAAAACTTTGGGTTCTTGCTTTCCCTCTTTCCCCTCCCTTGAAATGAGAAGACTATGGCATGCATTCAGGAAATTTCTGTGAGAGTGAGGCTTTTAGCTGTCAATCAATATGGCTCTGAGGATGTCAAGGTCACCAGGAAGAAAAAAAGCTCCAAATAATAATTAGATGATGTAATTGTCCTGACTTGTCTGAATAACAAAGACAAGTTGGCTTACATTCTGGAATGCATATTAGAAAATTTTTCAGCTAAAAATGTGGTTTTGTTTCATTGTCAAGGATACTTGAAGAATTTGTATGCGAGTCATTGAAGAATGTTAACCTTCTTTTAAGAGGCATTGCAGGTTTTACGGGGTATTTTCTATTCTGTGCAGGCTATATCATTGCTGTAGTTGTAAGATTCCATATTTTAACTTCTGTATAAACCCCTTTTTTTGATTTTCTTTTTAAGGTGGCTTTGGAGAGCATGGGATGTCAAAAAAACGAGGTGCCCTCTATCAGCTTATAGACAGGATAAGAAGTTTTGGCTCAGGTATTTTCACTGTTTCAATTAACAGGTTGCCTGATGTATAATAAACATTAATGATAATAGTACTTTAGCACTTAAAAACCTTTCTCTATTACTATTGGCATAAACAAACTGTAAAGTAAATAGTACAAGAATAGTAGAAGAGATTAGCTCTTTGTTGCATTAGAGGTCTATTTCCAGCATCAAATCTGGAAGCTAAAACATGTTCTTTTAAATCTCATATTAAAAATTCCCTGATTTATTTTTTTTTATCTGCATGGCTGTGTTAAGTTATCACTGATATCAATACAATACCTTTACAGTACAGGTAGGTTATGCTGCATAACTGGTAATTTTATATGGGCTTTTTTCTTGGTCAAGTTGAGGTATTCTGATGATTCATACAGTGTTTGAAGCATTTATCTTTGTAATGCTGAACAAACACATTTTTATACTAATCATATTCTTGTCAGTGTAAACATAGTTTAATTCAGCAGGCTGTATTAGTGGAATCCACATTACTACTGTTTGTTTGCTCACCGTATGTGATGCAAGGAGATGTCACTTCAGTGTCATGAAACTTCAACCTCAAAAAGAAAAATATGTGAAACTCCATTGCAGTCACACCCCATTATGTCTAAATGCATCACTACCTGTCTTGTAAGATGAACTAGAACACAGTAGCTGCCTTTGCAGATGTCCTTTGGCATATAATCTTCATTTTTTATAAGAGAATTATAATTTTAGTATTCCATAAAAACTTGTAATCTTTTGCATGCAATTAGGCATAAATTTCTTACTTCTAGTTCAAAAGAAAGTCGATAAAAAGAATTTTGAGTGGTAAAATATCTACATTACTTTGTGGTTCAGTAATGACTGCATATTAAGTGTGGCAATATTTTTTTCTCTGAAGTTTTTACCTGTGCTGTAGACTGTTATGTAATTCTCATTTACACACTTATTTAAAGGACAAATTATTTGCTTTACCTAAGTGGTTGTTTTTTTAAACTACAAATTTTCTATATCATTCCATGTATAATTTAAGTTACACGTTAGTTGTTAGAAAGGCAAGTGTTTCTTCCTGTGTATCAGGAGCTTTCTTCCTGCCTTGTCCTCTAGCTTCTTCCCTTTCTTCCTTCTGCTGCTCTCCCAGCCCTGGGGCTATTCCAAGATACCATACCATGATGCTGCCCTGGAATCCTACCTGATTCTGACCTAGCCATTAACACTTAGCTGGAACTGGTATCACAGGGAATACTCACAGAGGGAATGTTTACTCTTCACTGAGACATAAGTCTTCCACCCCACTGAGTAGAATTTGTTGACCACCTTTCAAGTGATCCATTTTAATCAGCTGCACTGCTGTACACACTAACTTATAAACTGCTTCAGAAGAAGCACTTGTTATGGTGTGTAAGTCCTTGTCTAACTATCCTTATCCTCTTGTCACAGTAAGTTTCAGCTGATTTGGGAAAGATTTGCCTGTAATGGGATGAATGTAGTAATATATCTGAAAATAATAGGTATGTTTTGGTCTTGTAGAGAAATTCCAGCCATGAGTAATAGCTATCCATAGGGTTCCAAAAGCTTATTTATGAAAAACCTATATTTGCATCCTGAAGTTTTGTAGGGTTACTATTAAAATGAAAGTCACATTTTCATCTGAAAAATTATCTACTGGTAATGTTACAAGTGATTGAGATTGCAGGGAGAAATGACCCTCTCTGACTTTTTCCATGTGTATATTCAACTTTGGAAAATAATGTATCTATTTTTTCCTTGTAATTCCTGATAATAAAAGCCAGTCTAATATTTTATGGATTCTTTGTGTCCAGTGCTTAAAGGATAGTCATGCTTTTGTATTTACCAGATATTGCAGTAAAAATTCAATGGACAGTGAATGCCCTGATTACAACATCTTTCTAACTCTGCTGGAAGAATGAAATTTATTTAACAAAAAATGCCTGAGGAGTGTGACTTTAAAAATTTTTATTTATTATTAAATGAGAAGACTCAGATGAAATTATGCAATGTGCATTCAAGTTGATAAATATATTTGCAAATTTGTACTGTGTTTGAAAAATGAAGATTTAGACTCTTCATTTCAAACATTTCTCCGAAAGCTAAGTAATGATAGACTGTTGCATAACAGCAATGTCCTACTTTTAAAGGGCATAAAGAAATAGTCTGACTTTGACCTGGTGGAAAATGATTCTCGTGTGTGTACGTGATTTCATTCAGTATTTTAATTATCATTACAGGCTTTGAGCAAAATAATACATCTAAAGGAAGAACTACTGTAAAATTCTCAGGGAAAAATGAGAAAAACCGATTTCCCAGAGCTGCTACATCACGAACAGAAAGAATATGGCCTGGGGGTGTCATTCCATATGTAATAGGTGGAAATTTCACTGGTAAGCTTTGTGCTTTGTATGGGGAGAAGGAATATGATTTTTTTAATTGCCCTTTTTTTTTTGTTTCCTAAAGTAAAGTCATACATTGGAAGTCAGTAGAAAGGTTTCTGTTGGATCAGACTGGAAGTACATCTGTTCTGAAAATATTAGTCATGTTTAAAAAAAAAAATGTTCCCAAAGGCAAGCTACATAATAAAAATATATAACTCTGTTTTATAAAGTGAAGAAGAAAGAAGAAAGTGAAGGCTCTTTTTTTTTTCTTAATATTTCTTGTTGCATGTTTATGTTCAAAAGCCTAAGTAACAAAATGTCACAAAATCTGTTTGGGTTTGGTTTTTTTTTTTTATAAAATGCAGGATACTTAGCACAAGAATATAACTAATTTGACTGGTGTGACATATTCTGCTAAACCAGTTTCATTCAACAAACTGACCCAAATAGTTTGGTTTTCAGATGGGTACACACAGAAAATATATCTGACAAGAAGAAAGACTGACTTCAAAATACATAAAAGTTTTAGCAAAAATCTGTAGAAAAAGTTTAGAACATCTGTTATCCCTGAAAAGTGTAAATGGATAAATATCAATGGATGTATGAGGCAATTTAAAACAAAAAGGGAGAGAGAAAAGCAAAGATGGATGCGCAAATATACGTAATAACCTCTTATTTATTGTGCACAAAAATACAAGGAATAGAAAGAAACATGCAAATGCTCACACATTGTTTGCATAAGTATATGGAGAAACCAGAGTCATTCTTTTCAAACTGACAGCTAGTCAAACGTTTAGTTTGGGTATTTACATAGTACTATATGAAATGTGACCTTTGCTTTAGGATTGCCATCTTCTGAAGAAATGGTAGTAAACAATGAAATCATATTAAGTTAAAAATTTTACCTTTTTCATAATGAAAGATAAATTCTAAAGCTTGGCAAACATTGCTTAAAGATAAAAGAAAAGGGCAAGATGGAATGAAATAACCTTTAATTTTCAGGATCCTGGCATGATTTGAACTTGCTATTTTTATGAACCTTGAGGTTTTGTTGTCTTTAAGGTTAAAAAGTTCCTTGTTTTGAATTTTTTGAAGTTTTCCTGTCCTATAACATGCATCTTTGCAAAAGTCTGCAAGATGGATGCATTTCTGCTAGCAAATTAATGCCAAATAGTCCTATTCTTTGTGGATTTCCACCTCAGAAGCAATACAGCTATATTTTCAGACACTGCTTCTAAGTTAATAAGCCTTGTCTTTTGTCTCGTCAAGGAAGTTACATTGCTATACTCTCTGAAATACTGTGTATTAGTTGGTTTTATGTTCTGTAGTGAGAACTGGCCTGGCTGCTTCTTCACCTGGAATATAGTTTTGGATATTTCAGAATGTTTCTCATTTTTAAAACAAATATCTAGTTATGCTTAGTATTATACCAAGTTAAGAATTTTCCCCTTTTGGTGGATCATTTGATTTCTGAAAGATTTTGATGCAAAGTGTAGACTCGGCCCTGTTCAAGACATCATTATTAAACTCAAATGCCTTGACTGGTATTTGATGCTTTATCTTAAATTGGTCTCCAGATGTCAACGCTGTAGAGTTACTCTTTTTTTTTTGTTTTTTTTTTTTTTTTTTTAATTCTTCCGCCCCCCCAGCCCCTTTCCATGTGGTTCACTTGATTATTTCTTCTGGGAAATTGCTTAGCATATATTATGCTAGTGCAGGCACATACACAACACTCTATTTCTTCCTCTGTCTTCCCCTGGTGCAACATAGCTGTGCTTTTTACTGCAGCTTTTATGTTTCCTAGGCTGTGTCAAGCAATATCGGTCCCCTTACAGGCAGATATGATGAGTTGATAGTCTGACTAGCCCTTTAATGGGTGTCTGGCAGTACATGGGACTGCTGGGACACAGGACTTCATGGTCCAGTGACTCCTTCCAGGCCTATATTCCTAGTATTGAAATCTGATTTTAACGATCAAGATGCAGTTAGAAAAGTATTTTATTTCATCTCATACAATTATTCTTCCAGGCACCCAGCGCGCCATGTTCAAGCAGGCTATGCGGCACTGGGAAAAGTACACATGTGTTACGTTTATTGAACGAAGCGATGAAGAAAGTTATATTGTATTTACATACAGACCATGTGGGTAAGTGTGTATGTATGGTAACAGTTATTGTGCTTTCAGTGTTCGGCCATGTTTGTCAGCTTTGCAGTTATAAGTGAATATATACGTTACAGGAGAATGAATAGACAGTTACTGCATTTAAGAGACGTATTCTGCTTAGCTTTAGGTTTATTGAAAGCAGTATGTATAGTAACTTCTTGAAGTTATGCTTCTTGTCTATTTCTAGATAAAATGATCTTGCTATATATACATACATATGAGGCTTTTATATTTGGCTTTGTCATGCTTTTAATATTTATATGTATTGTTCTAAAGATATTTCAGGCTTATCATTTGTTTATTCTTAGCTTTCTCCAGGTCACATGTTTACTGCTGAATTATGTATGGGCATCTATCCCATATTCCTTTTCCAGCTTAATTGTTGTTAAATGGAATTTAACTCTTCTGTTGTTAGGTTGTCCTTGCCCAGATTTGTTTAACCACCAAATTCGTGACATTTTTGCAGACCCTTTCTTCTGTGTCACTGATGTGTAAAAGTAAAAAAAAAAAATTAAAAAAAAAAGTTTTATTACTTATTAATGCAGCTTTCCGTTAATCACTGTGTTCCATTTTCAGATATTTCTGCTCACAAATACCTCAGTCAGCTATGTTTGTTATTTATTCCACTCAGAATTCTTAATTTTATATAGTAGTCAGTGAACTTCCTGAGTACACCATGTTCATTTTCCAAGGAAAGTGCTCACTACCTGTACTGATAATCACCTTCTTTTGGAGTTGTAGGCTCCACAGTGAACAGTTCTCTGTCTTGCTGACTCCCTGATCATGCCTACTTTTGAATTTTTATGGGACAGGGTTGTGAAAAGAAGTTTTGGGACCTCACATTGTAGGAATGATCCTGAAGATACTTAATTATAGCCCATAAAATTAACCTTTACAGTTAATGTTTTATTCATGGGTATTTTACAAATTACAAATAATTTACAAAGACTGTAACAAGTTTAAAATAAAAACAAGGAAAAGTGTGGCTATGAACAGTCCACCAGTGATGAAAAAGCAGGCTAAACAAAAGAGGCAGTTGAATTAGATTTTTACGGGTCCTGAATTCACAAGCCATTTGGGGAAGAGCCAGATAAATAAAACCATATCTTCCCTGGGTGAATGGGAACCACTGTGCACTGACCACCGATATACAGTGCTGGTGCAGGATCTTCCATGGTAAGAGCCCAGACAAAAGTGACACCAAACCATTTGCAAACACTTTCTGCTACATGGCCAGTTGCATTGAAATTAATCTCAGTTCTTTCCCAGAGCACCCTGCTGTGTTGGTTTGTTAGCACATTGTGTCATTATTGTTTGCGGTACCATGGAACTAATATTCACAGATGAGGGAAACATTATTGTACTTAGCACCATTCAAATTAAAAGCTAAATGATAAACCCTGCCCCAAAACCATGCAGTCCAAACATAACACATTTAATGAAACAGAAAGTGGATACAGTCATATATGTGGAAGTTCAGGTGGCAATATCTACAAATGTCTCAGATGACAGCATTAGCACACTAGCAAGTGGAGTGTTATTGAGCCTTTATAAACATTAAGGATATTTTGAAGGAGCATAATGCATTACATCTTGCAGCAGTTCATGGGAAACTTACGCCAGAAGGACACTGATGAAAAATGCGTATTTGAAATATAGCAGCTGGTTATTCGAGATACATGAGCTTCCTGAAGTTGAGAGTTTATATATCAGCAGAGATAAGTTTTGATTGTCATAGACCCATATGACTGCAAGGGATCTTAGAAAGATGTCTAGGGTATTCTTAAGACAGAAACAGCTATACTTAAGTTATTGTTGAAATATGCTTGCCTAACTTGTTTGTAAAAGCTTGCAGAAATGAATACTTCACAGCCTGCTAGGAAATGTGTTGCTTCAGTATCTTTAATAAGAAATGTAGGAAGTCAGGGGCAGTATTTTTGATCATAGCTAAACCAAATATTTCTTGCTGCAATTAAAGTACATTAACTTATTTCCCTGCTCACTATGGCCATAGGAAATAAATAATCCCTCTTTCTTTTTTGAAAGAATCTATTATATACTTTGAGACTGTTAGTATACCTACCCTCAGTTCTATTTTCTTTTAGGCTAGCAAATGCCTAATTAATTTAATCTTTCCTGGTAAGTCAAGTTTCCTAGGCCTTTGATCGCCTTGTTATTCTCTTTAGGATACTTTTTAACTAGTCCACATATTTCTTTAAATTGAGGACCCAAAACTAGGGCGAGTTTGTCCAGATGAATCATTACTTCTGTTGAGTCAGTGCTAGAGGTAATTCATCTATCTTGGAGTTTCTCTTTTCACTTAGGTACCTAAGCAGGATGCCTCCTTGTTTCTCAATAGCTGCTACATTCAACTCATGGTCAGTTGGGATGTCAATAACAGCCAGAATTCTTTCTACAGCCCTGATACCCCATCACTGTTTCCAGAATGTTTTGCACACCTCAGGACACCAAATAATGCCATATCTCCCTTTTCAGGTGTCTTCTCTAATCTGTTAAAGTTGTTATCAAATACAGGTTTGTCTTCATGGTATTTAGCAGTCTTTTTTCAGACGGCAAGTTTAAACGGCATCTTCTCTATATTCACTTCATATAATATTCCAACCGTCTTTATACCCACCTTTACATCATGTTTCTCTAGTTTGCTTATGGGCAGCTTGTATGGAAAAATGTCAAAAGCTTTACAGATGGATCCCTCCTTCCCATCACAATAATTTTGTCTCTTAAATTATATTTATTTGTCATCAAATCTTGTTTATTTAACCTGATTTTGAGAAATTAATTATTGCAAGATTGTTTCTTAGTACAGACGAAGCACTAACTTAGCAGTTTGAAATTTTATAATTACTCATTTGTGCCCATTAGCTGCAGATGTGAGAATAAGAATAAAATACTAAGATACTGATGTTTATGATACTTCTACCAAAGCAGTGTACATTGGCATTAGTATCTATTACAGCAAATATTTATGCAGCTAGTTGATTAGGGCAAATAAAGCTCTAATCTGTAAACAGGTTCAGAGCACTCTTTGTTTACTACTTATTCTCTCTTCTTATGTTTCTTCCTATGAGATAGAAAGTGCCTGAATACACAGCCACTCTCTATGCAAAGCCAAAAAAGAGGTCAGCAAACTGGAATGGCCTCCAGTCACATGCTCTTAATAAATATTACTGAGAACAAGATCAAGCGAGTGAGACAAAAAAAGAACAATTAGTCATATTATTCTGGCATCTCATCTTGCCTTTGATCTGACTTCGTGTCAGTTTTTGTTCTCCACCTGAAGACTTAAGTACTTTTTATGACAAACTTCAGATGACGTATTACAATCACTGTTGTATCCTTCTGTGTGGGTATTTGACAAAGCTGTCTGGGATACAGGAAAATCAGATCTCTTTCATGTGCTTCTCCAAACATTGTAGACTGAACAGCTTCTGAATGTTTTAATGTTTTTTGAACTTGCTAGTATATTAAATAGACATTAAAGGCAGGTTCTTAAAATTGATGAAACAAGTGAATACACTGCACAAGGTACACTTTTGGAACATTCTTGAGCTTTAAGAAGGATCACAGGTTAGAAAAGGTGCTCACTTTTATGGAATGAGAAGAAATTCAGAGTTGTACTACATAATCTGTGACATTAGGGCTGACTCATGCTCTCAGGTGGCAGGTAACTCTAGCAGCTGGCACTCTTCCTGCCCACAGCAGCTGACACAGTTTCTCTGCTGGTTGTAGCATGGCCTGCAGGATGCGTATGACCAAGATGCAGGTCACCAGCTGCCATGATCTAAACCACAGTACATCAACATAAGTTGAATGAGGAGTGATTTATGGTAATACACTGGGATAGGAAGCTGTTAACTGAGGAAGGGACTCAATTGGCCATTCTTTATAATATTGGCATGGTTGTCTCCATTGAGCTGGAGAAGGAGTAGCCACCTCTGCTGTTGCCACAGGTCCTCTTAGGAGAGTGAATAAGAACATTTGGTAATTACACCTGTATTGATCCCTGATAATAAGCAAATTCATCAAGCCAGGTCATAGCCAATATTTTCTTCGTACAGAATGAGTTATATTTGTGATTGAAGGAGGTGTTTTTCCACCAAGAAGAAAAGCTCTGTTTCTTGAGTGAGATTTCACTAATGAACTTTGTGAACTTCTTTCTCTTGCTTTGTGATGATATGCTGTCCTCGTACGCTTATGAAGTTCTGCAGCTTTTTGTCCACAACTTCATACATCTAGTGCCACGGCTAGCTGATGTGTGATCTATGAGGATTTTTATATTATCACATTCTGTAGAGTGCAGCTTTTTAAAAAGTGTAACATAGATCCCACCTGATTCTCTCTTTCTTCACATTAGTTTAAGAACATTTTTGACAGTAGCTGTATTACTTAAAAGAATGAGTGTATTGTTCAAGTCATTTCACTTTCTCTCTGTCATTTGTTTCTCTTTGCTCACCATCATTGATCAGCTACACTGATTAAATGGAATTAGAGATTCATAAATAGTTACTGTCTCCAACTGCTGTCTGGTGCAATAAAGATTAAAGAGCTGACAAGCTTTAAAAGCTACCAGCTGACTCAATTTAAGGGCATGACAAGTGCTCATACAGAACAGAGGGGTCATGGCCTATTGCCAAACATACCTGAGGTCAAACTCATGATATTGCAAATTAATTTCCCACACAAATTTATTTATTTATCTTAGTTTTCCTTACCCTTTGACTCAGTGCAATTGTTGAAACATTCAGAATCTTGTAGCTTAATTGGATGAATCTGGTGTGCTTGACATGACACTCAATCTAGCAAATACTAATGACCCTCTATAGGTGTGCACTGCTGCTATGTTAAGATTTGGTGTTAATTCTAATTTTCTTTGGCTTGTAAAGAAACACTCAATAAATCTGTTTATATTTTCTGAGAAGTACTTGAAATCTGTCAAGTAACCAGCATAAAGGAATTACCATTCTCATCTGGCTGCTTGTTTTTAGGAGCAAGCCAACTTTAAAAAATAATTCTTAGTGTGTTGGGTTTCAAATGTTCAGTGTTAGGCAACCTAGAGGAGTACTACTGAAAAGATTGCGGTTAATTTTTTTCCTTCTGAAGAGAAAATATCATTCAGATGTGTCAGATGAGGAACCTAAAGTCACTATACACATTTGACAATACCCAAATTCTCTTGGTTTTTATGACTATAATAATTAAATGTCAAATATTTTTTGAAAACCCCTAAAACTCTATCTAACCTATGAAATACCAATAAAGACTTTCAGGATGGATATTAAGCACCTCTGTTTTTGAGAAACAATCAACTATTGTTATTGTTAATCATATTCAGTAAATTAGTTAATTAGGTATTTATTTAACATATTTTCTTATAAAACCAATTTGTATTAATAATTTAGTGTTATACTAGCCATTTAGTTGTTCTGCTAATCTTGCACAGCTATTTCCTGACCTTTCCCAAGTTACAGTGCACAACCTTAAAAGGTTAAACCCTCCTTCAGTCCAAATGAAGTAAAAAGGACAAGTGTCAGATTATAGTTAAATTCTTGCTTTATCCTTTTGACCTTGCTGTGAATACTGTCAGTATAAGAAGAGCTGGAGACATTGTAGAGGATACTATTTCGAATAATTTTCTTCTTTTTTAAAATTTTTTCCTTTTTATTTATTTGTCTTTAAAATATCATTGTGCAAAAACTATATTGAAAATCTATGGAAATTTTAAAGCCACCAAATATGCCTTTGCTAGTTGAAGCATATAATGTACATGAAGTCAATAATATAAGCATGTTAAAATTATTGAAATTGTATTAAATAGTCTGCAACCTACAGTCTTAATAACCTATTTTCTTGTTTTAAGCTATGATTATTGATTGTTCTTTAGTTCTGCATTGCAATTTTTTTCTATAGAGTTTCCACACAGTGAAACATGAAGACTCAGCCAAAATGTTTAAACTGTTTTAAATGAAAGGATTTGTTCTGCCTTTTCATAATTCTGCATGGTTATCCAAGCTTTTTTTTCATCAATTTCTTGCACTGCTGTCATGTCTTGCATTCAGACTGTAAACGTTTTGAATTACAGATTAAATTACAAGGTGTATTTTGCATGATCATAAATGAATGGAAAACTAGGTAGGTTTGGTGGTACTTGGTGGTACATAGTGGTGCTTGGTGAGAGAATGCAAGACAGCAGGCATAAGATGAAGAAAGAGAGTCAGCCTCGATACAGAGAATAAATAAATGAAAACCCCATGTCTCCTTTCTCCATCCTTGGAAGTTTTCAAGACCCAAGTGGATAAAGACTAGAGAAACCCTGGTCTGACTTCATACCTGACCCTGCTTGGAGCAGACAGTTGAACTGGAAACCTCCAGAGGTTTCTTCCAACCCAAATTATGCAAGAATCAGTGTATCCATCTTTAGTAGTCTGTAATGTGAATTTTCACAGATTGCATTCATTGTATGTTTTTCTATTTTTAAAATAACCTTTGAGCATTTTCAGTGCATTTTATACCTTTGCACAAGTTAAGGTCAGTATAGCATAATTACCAAAATTATGTACATGACCTTACCATAGTTAGGAAGACCTAATTCATTAAGTTCACCTACTATGGAAATGGTGACATGCTTTCACAAAATGTGGATTACTTAATGGGATTGATTCTAATGTTTTCTACCATGGTTTCCTGCAGGCTGCCAAGGCAAATGCCACATTTCAGTCCTTACTTCAAAGCATTCAAAGATAAGGAACAATGTTTTCTAAATGATTTGAAGTCTGGGAACTAGGAACTGTGTTTGACAAATTTATTCGGTGTACGTAATGCAACTGCCTATGATGGTGAATTGGATTTCTATTATATTTTCTATATAATTTCTATTCAAAACCCAAACCAACAGCAAAAAATCCCAAACCAAACAAATAAAAAACCAAAACCTTAAGGTTCTAAACACTTTTCGCCCCAGGGCAAGCACAAGTGAAGAAAAGAAAGTTTGAACTATGGTAATTTCCTTATTCCCCAGTAGAAACAAATTCATATACTTGAGTGACTAGTGAAAGATAAAAACCTGAGTAAAAATGATATTGAAAATATCTGTACTGCTTAAATAATGTTTACATATTCACTTGTAGCCATAACATTTATTTTGCAAACATGCAGTCTGAAACATATTAAGCAAAATCATGTCAGAGTGTCAGGTGTAAAGGTGAAATCCACTGGAACCATGACATAAAATAGTGTAAGTACTCTACATTTTATTTAAATTTTAATATTATTTTAGTTCTATTTCTATTATCTGTTGCTTCTTTTTATCACCTATGCTGTGTTTTTAGGGCACATCTTAAGGTAGTTTTTCCATTACAATTATTTATATGAGTTAATAATACAATACAATATAATAATGTGCTAATATTAATATAATAATATACAATATATTAACAGTATAAATAATATAGCATATAATAACATAACAATATTTATACAATAATGTAATAATATTTCTATATCATAAGTATTTTAAGTAGTTATTTTGTGTTAGTATATTTTATATAAGTTAAGGAAATAGACAGAAAAATACACAGGTGTTCTTTATTTTCTTTTACTGTGGTGAGGAACAATAACACATAAACCTGCAACATTGACAATGGCAAGGAATTATAGCAGGGAGTCTAAATTGCCATTGTTTTTATTTACCTGACTTGAAGAGAGCTATGAAGGGAAGACACCTTAAGAAATTAATTAAACATGAAGTTGCAAAACTCTAGCTGAAGTACTGAGCCTCATTCAGGGCTTTGACATAAAAAGGTGATTCATAGCTATTCTTGGAACTATCTAAAGCATGAAGAAAAGAGTTAACTTAATTTGAGGGTAGGAATACTTGAGAAGCAGTTGACAGAACAAGGAATGATTATCATGTGAACAGTAATTTACCCAACAGTATTTTCAAGATAGCTTCAAAATTCTTGATACAACCCTCCTGGGCTGTTGTAGTACTATTTTCCTCTATAAAGAAATTTGTGTGACCTTTATAATTTTAAGATACTACTATCATTTTTTGGTATGCCTTATCCTTGATTTTAACAATTAGTGCAAAACCCATATATGCTTATTAAGAACAGATTATGAACTAAAATGCAGTGGCTGTACTTTTCTAATATTCATATTTTAAAATTCTAGTTGTATTAGACTAACAAAAATCGATGGAGACCCACTAAGACTAACTGACCAGCCCACTGACCAAAGTAAAAGGTGTCTTGTCACCACAAAAACCTGAAAAGGACAAAAAAGTAAATGTCGTCTGTAGAATTTTATCCGCAATCAGTATTACTCCCATAGGTGTTCTTCCTTCATTGTTCACAGGGGCATAAGAAGGATAGGATTGTTTTCCAGTCTAGCATCAACCTCCTCAAGGACCAAATATATTCTGATATATAGATGTTGCATCAGAAACCATGTTTTTTAAAAAGAAAGAGGAGGAGGGAGAGTGTGGAGGTAGAGGTGATCTGCCCTTTACAATTCCATTCCACCTGACAGACTGCAGAATTTAAAGAGCAGAGATGGGAAAACAGGCTTTTGTTAGGAAACATAATGCTCTTTTGAAATATTTAAGAGCTTCAGAGGTGACAAGGAATCAATTTATGAAACCTGAAATTGTCTTCCATTTTGGTAGGATTTGCTTTATTCTCCTTTCTCTCCTTTTGCTAGCATAGTCAGCAGAGGTTTGGTGGTTTGTGTGTTTTGGTTTTGGTGTTTTTTGGTTTGTGGGGTTTGTTTGTTTGTGTTTTTTTCCCCCCCTAACCAAAAAGCAGACATCTCACATAAATGCTGACAGTATGAATGCTGAAAAGGGCATCTCTGTTCCATAAGTTTACATTGGAATCATGGAAGTGCAGTGGAACAGGAATGAAACATGAGAGCAGTCTCTAAGTGTGTTTTCTGGGAGTTGTTTGTGTTGGGTTTTTGCTTGTGAAATTAGGACTTTCTGTGACTAGGGTTTCTATTACAAGAAGATAGGAGGGGGAGAAATAAAAAAGTTTGCACATAACCAGAGTGTTCAACTACCTAATATACTGTTGTTGCAAATGACATTGTATATCTCCCATAGCCAGAGAAATAGAATATGAGGAGAGATGCACAGTGGCATCACAGGATTCCAGATGTCATTCGGGATATTTTTTCAGCTGCATGCTAAGTGAATCTTTTAAAGGACTACTATTTCACTTGCATAATTCCTGAATCCTTTGTAGATGGAACTGATGAAGTAGGGTGACTTTCCATATCACAATAAAGGAAACTTATCAGAACTGAGTGACCAAGAGCCTGGTAAATGCTGTCAAGACACACAGCAGAAATATGACACGGAAGAAACCTTACCTTTTCTTATTCATTATTGAGTGTGCAAGGGCAAGAACGCAGTGATGTGCATGGGTGAGATGGTACTTCCAGTCAACTTTATTTTTATTGATTCTTTGGGTGAAATGAAGTTCCTGTGTCATTCTGAGATACAGGACCACAAGTTACAATTCTGTTGATCACAGCATCTTTTAAGGAAGACCTTGAATAAAAAAATCAAACCATACATGTGTCCTTTATTAGGTATTCTGAATAACAACCTGTTCTTTCACTAGAGGTAGAGTTTGTGAGAATGCAGAAATTGCATAGTGCATTGTTCTGCTGATTTTATTGATATATTAATTTCTTATATTTTTACTGAATTTCCTATATGGTTTGTAGAGATATGCATGAAAACTTTCATTGGTGTTTGTGCTTTAATTATAGGTGCTGTTCTTATGTGGGTCGAAGGGGAAATGGTCCTCAGGCTATATCTATTGGCAAGAACTGTGATAAATTTGGTATAGTTGTCCATGAGTTGGGTCATGTGATAGGTTTTTGGCATGAACATACACGACCAGACCGTGATGACCATGTCACCATCATTAGAGAAAACATCCAGCCTGGTAAGATACTCTGATAAGTATTTTTGGGTTAAAAAAATAAAAAAGAAAAAAGTGTTTATTTTTGGTGCTTCCTTTATCTGTTCAACTCTCTTAAACAGAATGCTGAGAAGTAGAAATGAACTTAATAGCAGAAATGAGCATTTATGTCTGCTATTCCTCTTAGCTAGACTGATCTCAAGCTGAATCACAAATGAAATATTGCAACTACAATATAATTGTTTCTAAAGATCTGTTCAAGTAGCAAACCATTCAGTAGTCTTGGATAGAAGGAAAGAAATAGTTATCATGATCAAAAACTTTGAAAGAGCCCACTGGTCTTAGAGCCCTTCAAAAGTCATGTTTCTGTGCTTGAGAAAGTGCTTTTCTTTTGAAGTCTTTACGGAATGATAAGTAGAAACATGTCAATAGCTTTTTAGTGGCCCAAGAGGTTTAGACCTGGAAGGTAAGTTGAGAGCTTTGTGACAAAGATGGGTGTTATTCCATTGGTTTCCAAATTACTCATTGCCTACAGAGCTTTCAGCTTTAGCCATTGATCTTGACATTGTTGAGACAAAGCACCTGAGGAACCTGAAAACTTTAAACTGTGGCTGTCACCTTTTTGTCAGTCTAGCCACTGTTCCCACACTTGTGGGAGGGAATTTAGCGTATTTCATTTACAATGTTCATAAATGTGCATGGTCCTTGTGAAACACTGATTTTAATTTATAGGAATTCTCTGCTCAAGAAGGGTTGAAATCAGAAATTATTCAATGATAGTTTGCAGTATTTCTCTGTTCCTATAGAAAATGTTTTAAAACAAAATAGATTTGAGATACAATAAATCTTTGCCACCTCAGCTAGGATTTGGAAGATGACTGGCAGCTGATACACAGTTCCACAGTTCTCCCAAGTCCTGAAAGGGCACATGCATCCAAGCCTTGCCTCTGTTCTCTAGTTGTCATTGATTTGTGTAGATGCTGTAAGTGCCCGTCCCCTGTGCTTTTTCTGCGATATGGAAAACCAGCTGGAGTGCCATCCCCAGCCTCCTGCTCTATCCTTTCAGTTGTTTCTCTAGTTTCTGTCTGAAACCACTTCTTGTGGTGTGGTGTGAGCTTCAGGATCACTGAATGGGATCAGGAAGTCATGACACCAAGATATTTGAGTTTGGTTATATCATGCCTATTATTTTGGTTAATAATGTTAATGCCACTGCAGTTTTTTGTGCAAGATGCCAATGGGAACATGAATTGGACTAAGCGGTGCTTTGCATCTCTGAATACACTGATTAGGACAAAGAACTTCTGGTCTGGAATTATGAACTAAGTATAATTCTTCTGCTCCTCTCTTGCTTTCATTAAGATGCAACACCTGGCTCTTGGAAATGTGACTTTTTAGTGTTTGCATTATATGGGGGCTCAAGTAGCCTTTGCTGAAAAAAGTCTTTAGTATCCAGTCTAATGAGTCTAGAACGAGGAGGGTTCTTCCAGGGTCTTTGCTGTCAGATTTATTTCTTTCTGGAATTCAGAACCAAGCCAGCAAATTTTATGGATTCTGAATATAGTGCAACATAATGTGTGGGGCCTTTGTGTGGGTTAGATGAATGAGAACAGACTTGCTAAATGCCCAGAATAAGAATTTGATGTGTGTTTCATAAAACATGCCTTCTGTCTTGGTTAATAAAATCACACCGTAACTCCCAAAAGATTTATGAATCTCAGTGAGTGATTAGGTAAGGATCTTTGTTGTTTTTCTTTTCCTGTTTGGTTTTTATTGTCACAAGAATTCACTACAGTAACTCTAATTATAAATCATTCATAGGTCAGGAATACAACTTCTTGAAGATGGAGCCTGGAGAGGTGAACTCCCTTGGGGAACCATATGACTTTGACAGTATTATGCACTATGCCAGGAACACCTTCTCAAGGTTGGAGTCTCAGGTTATACCTTTTGACTTTTAATTCTATTCCTCTCTGTGAATGCTAAGAACTATGTTTTATAAAGTATTCCAAAATCACTTAAAATAACACTTGTGAGGTAGTATTCTTACATCAGTCAAAGCCCAGCTTGTTTAAGCCACTATTATTTAATTATATTTTTAAACACTTTTTGTTTCTGTTCATTTCCAAAGTAGCCTTTTCATCTTGTTTCAGGTTTTAGATTTTAAGACAAGATAAAGTGGACCATAATTTAATATAATACTGACTTCCTTTTCTCTCCACAAAAAATTTAATTTAGAAGAAACAAATAAAATTATTAGAAATTTTGTATGTAACATGATCTCTTGAAGAGAAATCTCCTTTGGTGCATAATGTCTCAGTAACCATGGATTATGCGAGTAGAACACAATATGGTATTAGGACATGTAACATGCAAGTCACAGCCTTTGTTAAGGACTGCAGTCAACCAGTCATTACAGAAGCTGCAATCTCTTCTCTAGTGTACAGATTGTTACTGTCATCAAAACCATACAATAAAGAGTTCTGCTGGTTTTACTCTGGCCTGTTACAGGCTGGTTTGTTCCCAACGCCATAGTAACGCATGTGGGTCTTGCTCTGAAACGCTGCACGGATGTGGGGAGCTGTTCAACAAGCTGTTCCCATATGCTAGCCCTATTCTCGAGAAGAAGGGAAGGAGGAGACTTTTACCCAGTGTCCTGTTATGTTTCATACCAAGTTGCAGTTGTGTAAATTAAAAGAAACATTGGAAAAAAACAAAACCAAAAACAACAGCAACAAAAAAAACCTCAAACAAACAAAAAAATGCTGGTTTGAAGAGTTATGTGCTTAGCTTGCCCCCCCCAATTCATGCATTTTAAGGCAAAAATACTTGACCGTCTGAGACTCTGAAATAAACTCAAAACCTCAGAAACCAGAAACCTCACCAAACTTTGCTCAATTTCTTGAACTTGTTCTCCTCAATATAAATGGTATTATTTAAGAAAAAGAAAAAAATTCCTACAGAACGATGTATTCAGCATACACCTAATTCACCCCTGGTAGAGCAAGAGAAAGAGCCCCATGAGGTAGCTATTAGTCACATCGCTTACTCCAGTTACAGTTACATTACGTTAAGGAAGTGATTATAAGAACCTATAAAAACCAGAGTAATTTGACAAGCTGGAACCCTCCAGAGTCCTAGGGCAATGACAACATCAAGATAATTTCATTTGTGAGCCCTCTCAACAGTTTCCAAGCTGGCAAAAACTAATAGTGCCATGAGTAGGCATGCCCTGCCCTAAGGTACAAGAGGTTGTTACTTCATACTGTTAAAAACAACCAGCAAACCCTTGAGGTCATATATTGCTTTGCAGTGATTTATCATGAAAGCATGCGTCAGGCTCAGGGTGGCATATTACCAGCTATTTATTGTTAGAATTTACTCACACAGATAAGTGGTTGAAATCACAAAACATCATAAAGTTCTAGTCGCACATAGTGATGTTGTTCATGTTACAGGTTGTTCCCTTATCAAAGTGCTAAGTCATTTAAGAGAGGTTTGTTTTCACATTTTTCAGAATATGAATAATATCAGTTTCAGATTGCACTAAAAATCAATGGGGAAAAATATAATTTATAGGTATAAACTTTTTTTTTTTCAATAATAGAGTGACTTATTTCTAGAAGCTGAAAATGCCGTAAGTATTTTATTTCATTGTTTAGATTATGGTAATATCCTGAGATGATTTTTTTTTTTTTTTACAAAATTTCTAGTGATGCTGCAAGAGATCTGGCTGGGCAAAGAGAGCAGTGTGTACCTGCAGTAGACAAAATGGTTCATTTATTATAATTTAAAAGCCAGTCTATATTTATAAACAGTATTCTGAACTACAAAGATGCTTACTGTTCGTTCATTTTTAGACCTACATTATGCCTGAAGATGCCAGTTTTATTTTTCAATAAAAGCCCTACAAGTATACAAGAGAGTATAAAAAATTAAAGAAAAGCACAATAAAGAAACACATTCACTTGTTAACTTCCATTTTATGGGATTTGAGGGATTTTCAAATTCTCTAACATGATAATAGGACTCAGCTTCGTACCCTACTCTTTTAAAATTTATTTGAGACTACCAAAATTTTTTGGATCATATTTAAAACTTGGGGAATTTTGAATAAACCTACATATTTGGAACAAGTGTGCTTCTCTGTTACATCTAGTCATTTATTATAAATGTTATTAAAATAATGTATGTTAATTTGATATAGTTTATTGAAAAGCAACAGGGGGTGTCAAGTAAGCATTTGTCTTCCAGAAGTGGCAGTGGCCAGAGTAGGGTTAGACATAACACCTGACAGGAGAATGATTAGCAGGTGTGCCTGACTCTACCTGCTTTTAGACATGTAAGTCAGACTTTGTAGTCTAAATACTAGTAAAAGATTTCCCTCCTGTTTTCTTACAGAAATATAAGCTGGTATGTTAACTGATGTACTGGAAGAAGACTGGGGTCTTTTTTGATAACTTTGCGTAAAGTTTGCCATCCCGATGAATTTTTATGACATGTTTTCTGTATTTAAATTTCTGCAGTTTACACTCTTAATTATGCCAAATGTAAATTATAGATTTAAAAAATAGTATTATACATTCATAAAACTCTGACAGTTTTATGATAGAAACCTGATAGGGTTTTTTGGGGTCTATTTTTATTTTTATTTTTTTTAGGGGCATGTTTCTGGATACCATTCTCCCTTCCCGTGATGATAATGGTATACGACCTGCCATTGGCCAGCGTACTCGACTAAGTAAAGGAGATATTGCACAGGCAAGAAAGCTGTATAGATGTCCAGGTATTGCACCACAAAAAAACCCCACCTAATAGCAACTGTTTGACTTGTTCAAGAGGAATGATAAACTTTTTGAGTCAGCTGCTCAGTTGTCTGTTTCCATGTTGGCAACTGACGTAGGCAGTTCAAAAACTGAATCATAAAAACAAACCCACATAGGTAAGGTCTCTGGAATGCGAAACACTAAAGGACAGATAAACTGTATGAAACACCACTGAGTTTCATTACATTTCAGTCTTTGTTTTCCTTAGCTTTTCAATGACTAGAAAAAGAAGATTATGCTTAATATCCCTTCTGGCTTACATATTGGCTGGACTCCATTTTTATTTGAATTCAAGTAGAGTGTAGAAGAAGCAAATTAAATTATTGCAATCAGTTCTGAACATACTATGTTTTTGAAAATTTGGCAAATAACAAGCCGAGACAACTAAGTTGTAAACTCTTCTAGGGATGAATATGTTTGATATTATTACAAACTTTATACAGTTGTAACAGTTACATTTAACATTTGAATATCTTCTGCCTAATTTTAGCATCCTATAATTTCAATGCATATTAATTTTTTATCTCAAAATAGTGCTGGGAGAGTTGATATCTGTTTCAGACATGAGTAGCAAGTCAGGAGTAACCCAGAGAAAGGCCTGTGGTTACTCTTGTGCTAGTTCTTTAAGTGCTGGCAAAGTGGTGAAAATCTCAAGGCAGAAGGTTTTATTTTCCTTGCTCTAATTATAGCTGAGACCAGTTTTAAATTTTGGTGTAAACTGTAGTAGTTCAGAAGTGAACATCTCAGCTGGAATTTGCCAGCAAGCTCCTTGTGGGAGGCTAGACATACCAGCTCTGTGGTCTATAGCTTTTACAGCCCTCCTCCTCCTCATGGGAATTAAGGAAGTCTCAGTAACTGTTTCAAGTCAGATATATGGCTACTTTTTACCACATGATGAACACAAAAGGACAAAAAAGAGGGATCAGGACTAAAGTGATGGAGCTGCTTCAGGTTTGTATCATCAGCAGCAGGATCTACTGAAGATCTGGGGTATCTGATGTGCATTTGATGTACACTGTGCAGCTGAAATATACTTTGTTCTGTAAGTACACTGAATCATAATCTTCTATATACTGAGAATGTGCACAACATTTCTGGGCCTGCCAGAGGAGAAACCACTGTAACATATTTTCTTTAACAACTGTTCCTTTTGGAATAATTTTTATTCTTTCCTTTTGGTACACTGAATACTTGAATAATGGTATTCTTCTTGGCAGCATTACTTCTAGTAAGAGTATACAGAGATCAACAACTTCATAAACACAGAGAATATTTTGATAACAGACAATTTTGAAGACAAGAATAGTCTGTAGAATCAAAACCACTGTGAAAGTAACCAGTATCTTATGATCACATTGACTTAAGAAAAAAACAAAAAATTACAACCTAGGCTGTTTAGTGTGCATATAATACTCTATCGTGCACTTTCAGTCAACTGGAAGAGATACAATGTGCTTTATGAGCTAATGTTCAAATAGCTGTTCAGAGAAAATGTCCTTTTTGTATAATTCCTGAAAATGTGGAATAATGAATTATAATTTCTTTCAGTATCTTGAAAGTCTTGTTGAAAATTATTTTCACAGTATTCTAAAACCTTGTTTTTTCAGCAGTAGTGTGCTCTGTACATGTCTTTTGCAGTACTGGTGAATGCACTTCAGACAGATAATAAAAATGAACAGTAGTTGCAGGATCCATGTTCCTTTTCAAGCCCTTTGCTTCGGCAAACTTTGGGACAAAACCCACTGGTTTTCTAGCCTTTCTTAGATAAGCCAGTCTATAAAAGAAAGTGAGTTTTAAGAAAGAGGAAAAGGCTTTGCTATAAATTTAAAATAGCATACTCTTTAACATGCTGGGTTTTTTTTCAGTTAATATTTTTAATAGAAGCCTCATAGCTGAGTAACACAACACACACTTAAACATCCAATAGAGGAAGCAACTCTGAAAGTTGCATGGCACTTGTGATCTAATAATTTTTTCAGCAGATAGTGAGGCTGAAAATTCAGACGTTAACCTTCTGGCTTTACAAAAAGCATCAAGTAATCATTGTAGTATATAGCAATAAAATCCCTGACACTGTTGTTCTTGGAGGTGTGCGGTATTTCCTATTTCAGACAAATTATGTTAATCATGATGTCTGCTTATGATAAAACAGCAGTGAATTTTTCAAACATTAATAACATCTGCTTTGTTTCATGTGTTCTTTTGTGTTGCCTTAAATACAATACAATGAAAATACAGAAAACAGTAACTTAAATAAATCAGTATTTTCCAGAGATACACACTTCTTTGAGAAAGGATTTTGTGGTATTGTCTATGTTTTATTTGGAGTTTCAGTTATTTCTGCAGACAATTTCTGGGCCAAGAAGCTTGCTGCATTTTCTGGAGCCCATGAACGTGAACCTCAGCTCAGGCAGTTGGACCATAGAGCTCATCCTCACAGCAGTAAGGCAGCTGAGCCTCCTGGGTTGTTTTAGTTAGTCAGGATACTCAGGGTCATGATTCAGGAAAGGGCTTAGTGACCGAGAAACAGTTTTGAGCTTGGTGAAGCCAAGCCATGAGACTTGATAACCTGTCTTTCATCAGCTGAGTAAGTGCCAGGTCTTAACAACTCAGCAACAGCAATTTTGGTTTGTTTTTAACTTTTTCGTAGGATTTTTGTCAAAGGAAAACATAATTTCTGATAGGGATCTGTTACATTTTAATACTGAGTTACATTGTTATATGAAAAAATAATAAGGAGAAAGCAAACAACCCAGTTGAGGTTCTTTCCTCTGCCAATCTTATTTTGAACTTTGAGTGCCTTGGCGTTTGAGAACAGATTTTGAACTTCAAGAGTGGATATATTACAACAGTTTTCAGACTTTCTAACAGAGTAATAGAATGTTTTCTTCTGGTATAGCTACTAACACTTCAACACAGGTCTGTCTTTATAGTTCTGTATAGAAGTTGTAGTTGATTTAAAATGTATATGTCGTTTTATAGGGGCAAGAGAATAAGAAAGGGAAATGATGGAGATACTGTTAGGCAGAAAGAGAGGACAAGAAAAAAATGGAGAGAAGGGATCTGAATAATGGATAGGAAAGGAGGATCAGACAGGCAGGAGAAAGCTGTTCAAAGGAAGAGAAGGTGGATGGAAGATATTCAGCACATCTACAAGTTTCCAGGATCTGTGACAGTATGTGTGGAAGAGAAAAGATGAATACCTGACCTGGCTCTTCCTGTTTTGGCTGTTCCTCAGGCTTAAGTTGGTTTTCTGTCTATTAGATCAGAAAAGTGTTCACCTTCAAAAGTGAGCCTTTATTGACTACAAAAGGAGGATCAAGGTTTTTAGATTAAGACAGTTTCCTTATAACTATAAAGGGGAATCAAGTCAACACTAAGACACTGAGTTGTACTAAACTGATTAAGTTTTTGGTTTAACAAGTACGTTATCAGCACCAGATATTTTTAAGGTTCTGTGACATCTATATATGTGATCTATCTGTAGATGTAAGACTTGGGTCCGAGTAAAATATATTAAAGATCTTAATTCTCTTTGGAAACGGGTAAACTTAAGTTGACCGCATATGCCAGTATGTATTTGCTAGCACTATGAACAAAGGAATGAGAGCTGGTTCCCTACATGTCTTGGAGGATCTGGGCTTCATCATTTGTAGATTTCACTATAATCCCTATTGGAACTTGACCGTGTTCGTAGGCCAGCCCAGAGAGGTGTTATACACAGGCTGTGTAATTAAATGCTGCTGCAGAATTCACTGGTAGAAATTGCTTTGTATAAGCATATAATCTACCTGCTGCCTTCACTCATTGCTAATTTTTACAAAGTGAAGCAAAAATAATTTCCTTTTCCTTACCACGGAAAGGCTTATCTAACCTTGTATAACCTTCTAAGCTGTAAAACAGAGAAGAGATTGGGTTTTTTTGGTTGGGGTGTGTGTGGGGAAACCTGAAGTGGCATTTCTGCAAGTGATCCAGCCTAGTAAGATTGATATAAGGCATGCTATTTAAGAGGGGAAAAAGAAGACCAGAAAAAACATTGGCAATGTTAATGCTTAAGAATGGATTAAAAATGTACAAATGCTTTATATAGCAGAGATGTATAAGATTGAAGTTGTAATTAATTTCTTTTGACATGAAATATACTGAGAATAGTTCTTAGGAAATTTAAATAAGTGGCCTTTACCACTCATTTACCTTCTAAATTTCTTTTTCAAAATAGATTCCATTACTGAAGTGCAGTCACATGGCAAAATGTTTATAATATACCGTTTTATCAACATCATCATAAATACTGTAGTTGCCACAGTCCAACTACAGAGAAAACCTGTACATTCTCTAGTGATAGAATTTTAAATGTTTCATTTACCATTGACCCATTGCAGAGGAATGGGTTTTTAAACCAGAAATGCCTAAAAATCACCCTGTCTACAGTGGTTCTGGAAGCCAGCCTGGTACTCAGATCCCATAGGTAACGAAGTCAGCTACTGACTGGTATAAGCTGTTCTTGTGATAGTTCCCCTGAGTAACCAGCAATTTTAAATTAAATACTAAACATAGTGAAAAACATAGAACCCAAACATACTTTATAAATTGTAATTGTGTTAATTCTTAGTAGAAATTATCCAAACACAGTTTTTCTCACAATTCAGAGATATTTATGAAAATTTTGATTTTATAGAGACCTCCCTGGCATTTAATATAAGTTAAATTGTTGTGTTAACTGGCTTTATTCTATAATTCCTAGAAAAATAAAATGTTCCATGGCACCTTCTGCAACTTAAAATCCATAGTTTTAAGGCTATATACAGCTTCTGTATATGGAGCAAGGAATGTTATTAATAATCTGGAGAAAAATAATCTTTCACTCTGTATAAGAGAAAAAAATTCTGAAATGTTTTCAAAAATGTAAAGGTATTATGCTTGGTTAATTGATGTGTTTATTTTTATAATGGGGTCATTTAGGGACTTTAATAGAGTAAAGGATAGTTACACCAGGGTCTTCCTCCCCTCCACTTTCTAATTGCAGAGCTGCGTTTGAACTAGTGTCTCATGTCCCACATACTTGATAGCATTTTGTTTGTTTACATACTTCACATTATGGGGGTGTGTGTATTGCATGACTTCATAATCAATACAGCTAATTGAAAAAAATGCAACATGAGCAGAAAAGATTGGACAAACAACATTCCTCATCTCTCATCACATCATCTGCTCAAGGCTTGCTTAGTAACTGTAGTGCTGGTGAAATAGTTATAGCTAGAGCAAAGAGAAGGTGTGCTAAGGCTCGAAATATGGTTGCATGCCTTGTGAGACTACGTTGATTCAGTGTGGTCTCAATGAAGTCATGCAGAAGACCAAGAAAGGGCTCTAAAAACAGTGAGCAGAATACACAGATCCTCATGGATCTCCTGAATGCATCTGCTGCACAGGGTATGTCCTCTTTGGGCTCTGCTTTCCTCTGCTCCTGTACAAGACTACGATATTACTCTTGGCCTTAAGCTCTTCATGTATGCATTGCAAGCTATAGTACAGTACAGTAGTGATGGGGGAACCCAGTACAGTGCTCTGCAATTCATGCATTCATCGCTGTGTTAAAAATAAATTGTGGTTAATTATGGATATAGCCTTTTCACTGAAAAGGCTTTGTACAGAAATAATTATTTAACACTGAATACCTTTTTTTGTATGTGTCATTTGCTGTGGCTGCCTGTTATATTTTTGACATAAATTCACCTTTTTTTAAAGGAGGAGAGGAAAATATTTTTTTTCTCTTTCATTGCTAAAGGGCACGGTGATGGTAACTTTATCCATTAAGTTTTTGCGAGGGAGCACCAATCTTTCTTTTCTGTCTTCATCACAATAACCATTTCAGTGTCAGAGAGCATATTTAATGCCTTGAATGTAGCCTATGCCTGATATTACTGTGTAGATGTCAGATTTCATCTAAGACACATTTTAACAAGACAGTCTTTAGAGCTGTGTTGTCTGTCTTTGTCATAAACAATCTCTTCCTTTGTCCCCCTTTTTTAAAAGATTTTCCAGATAATTTATAATTCATTGAGATTTTGATGATACGGTAGTTCACCTGCTGGCAGCGGTAGTGCTGTAATTTGAAAGTGCTGCAGATCTGATTACACTGTCAGTCATGGGATAATGTTCTCAAATTCACATCTCTCATATCACACCTGCAAAATCACTGGGTGAAACAACTCGATTAAGGTCAAAAAACATGACTGACTGAGATGTGACACCCTACTAGAATCAGCTTTAGTGATGAAGAATGGCAGTATCTTCCAATGCTATATTTTAGTGTGAAGAGGAATTATTAACCAGTCTGCCAGCAACTAGTAGTATGATTGACAGGTGAGATATGGGTGCTAAAAGCTTCAATAATAAAGAATATAAAAGCCTCTAGTATGTTAGGACTTTACATTTGCTTTACTTTCTTAATCATATCTCTACAATACACTGTTGCAAAAGATTTTGTTGAATACAGGATTTAGTTTTCTATATCAATATAAATGAGCGAATTTGGGTCAGATCCATCTGTCATGTGGGCAAAGTACTCGATTAAATGAAACCACTGACAAAATTCCAGTGTGGTGCCAATCATGCTGTGACAGCTTTTGTTTTACTTTTGTTTTAGATCTTAAGGGATGTGTCTAAGGGTGTGGCTAACTTTTTTTCATCAAAGTCAAGTCATATGTATAATTTTGCTGTTGATTGACAGCAGTGATATTTTTTGCAGACTGCTGTAATTTTGGTTATGTCAGCAGACAGCACACAAGTGAAATAGTTCATGGAATAAAAACATCCTGTGTAAAATGGAATGAATGTCAGACTGGCTTAAAATCATTTTTTTGAATAAATCATAAAGTGACAAGTCTGCTTTCCATTCTGCATCTGCAGTGAGTTAAATGTACTCTGAGTAGATACTAGAAAGATGCATTTTACTCTGTTAGGCACATTCAATGTTATACTTTTACTGTATTTTGTTTCTTTCAGCCTGTGGAGAAACACTGCAGGAATCTACAGGCAACTTTTCTTCTCCAGGATTTCCAAATGGTTATCCTTCCTACACACACTGCATATGGAGAATCTCTGTGACCCCAGGGGAAAAGGTATTTTAACACTTCCACAACTAAACACACTCTTTTCAAAACAAAATGTTGTGTTTCTTTAGCTTTTAATTTAAGCTTAAAGCTTGCATAATAATTAAAAATGATGGTTTGACGTAAAAAATGGGACCAAGAACTATGTGCTCTTGACTTGACTTTGGTCTGTGGCATGTGAAATGGAGGTATGATTTCAATCTGCTATGTATTTGTATCATGAAATCCCTTCAAAGCTGGCTTCCAATTCTGTTGGTGGTTTGTTGTAAAGGTGGAAGAGGCAGTTCAGACTCCTTCACCAGCATAGGCTGGGGCAAGCTGACAGAGCTATTGTGAGGCTGATAGCTGGGCTCTGCTTAAGGAAGCTCTTAGTATGTTAAATGAGATGTTTCTCAAGTGAAGCAGTAATAATGTGGAGTAAAGAAAGTCTCACTGTAGATGTTTTTCCTGGTATCGGTTCTAGTGCATATTGCTTTACTTTCTGGGCATCACTTTTACGGGGAAAAAAATTGTCTTGGTGAGAGCAATTCAGGGAGAGAAGTGTGCCATCCTAGTGAAAACAAAGCCTCATCTTCTTGTGTATATTTTCAAAATGTGCTAGCTGAATCTTGGTTTTAATTATTGGATCAAACATTAGCCTGTCTCAAAATCAATAAGGATAGGGTGAGTGATGGAAAGTTTCACCTGAGACAAAATATGCAGGAGACAAAAAGGGATGCAAGATTCTTTATAAGGAGCAGTGGCTGATATTGTCAGGTACAGCCTACAGACTGAAATATAAAACACAGCACCAGCCTCAGTACTGGAGAGACCAAAGATGAAAACATGTGTTTGCTCCCAGACATTTCAGTCAGTTTTGTCAGTGGTCACCCACTCCAGTTTTCTCCTGACTGAATTACTTCATTGCATGTTTCTTTCAGGTCAGGGTCCTGGTAGACACCAAGAATATATGTTCTCAATGTGCTGATAGATCCTGAGGAGCTGTAAGAGCATTTGCCACTGTGGGGGATGAAAGCAAAGCCATTTGGAAAGCATTCATCCTCCTCTGGGCAAGAGCCAGAGTCAGGAGGAAAAATAAACACACTCTGTGCTTGGAGGGCGTGGGTGGCTCTGCAGGTTGGCAGGGAAAAACAAATGAAAACAGATGAATAAGAGAAGGTTTGTGCAAAAGATGCAAATTAATCTAGATGGGTAATTTTATGCCCCCACTATTTGTGTGGCTTCTTAGACACTGCTGTGATAACAACAAAAAATGATTAGGTTTCTTTTTTATTCCTCAGTTAAAAAAATGAAAAAATTGTAGTGTTCATCTACAATTATTATTTACTCTTGAAAGCAATATTAATATGAGTTAGAAAATGGTCATGCTTAAGTAATCGTAACATACTCCAACTTTGTTTAAGCCTATCTGTGGATATTAGTGTAATTGTAATACATTCGTAATACCATTATATCTTGAGATTGCAACCACCAGTGGAGCTGTGTTATACTGTACAAAAGCTTACTGGGTGAAAGCCCATGTCTTGAAGTCAGCAATGTAAGAAGACCAGCTCCCTTCCCATCTTACCCCCCACCCCAAATGGGGAAAAAGACTGAATAGAATTTTCTAAGTGAAATTTGACAAGACAAGTCATGTCTGTAGGACACTGTTCTGACCTTCAGTTCTCATGGTTTCCATATACTTCCACAAGAACATTAGCAAGACATTTGCTAATGTCAAAAAGTCTGTTTCGTCAGTGCTATTCCTATAGGTTATTGTCTGTCTTGAGACAAAGGACCCTATTTGCAGCAGTTACTTGATGTGAATAGCAGAGAGCAGAAATAAGCTCTAAATCTTAACTAAAGCATACAGCACTTGCATTATGCTTGATCCCAACTTTTCTCAGTAAGTCACGATAACACAGTTACATTATGAAGGGAAAATAAAAATACATTTAAATTTTTGTTCCTTTGTTCACTGCTTTGACCCTGATAGATCTCAGGAATGCTGTGTGGAGCTTAGAGTACGTGTAAGTACATCACAGCATGTTCTGAAACGTCAGTGAGCACTTTAGTCACCTAAAAATAAACTTGAAAAGCATCAATCCAGATTGTGTAGCTCTTGTGTCTTATTTATTGAGATTTAACATTGTGCTGTTTGAACATAGTTTAGAGGATTTCTGTTCTACCCATGTTGCTTTCTGCAAGTACATACACTTCCGATCTTTGATGGCAGGAAATTCAATGAAGGACAGGACTGCAACGGTATGCCCTAGCCGCAATATTCCTTTTATTGATAGACATAATAAATTGTCAGTAAAACCTTAAAATGTGTGTGTCCCTATTACTAAAACAAGGCAGTTCATTCACCTTTTACTTTCCCTTAAGATTTAAGACTGTGTGGTAAACAGCTGTATACAGTAGAGCTATACACAGAAAAATCTTTGGGGGAAGATGGTGTTAATAATACTGTACACCCTCTGCCAGGGTGAATGTCTCGTTCCGGTGTGTAGAAATTTTGTTGGCATAGGGATTTGCAACTGTGCCAATGGTGATTTTTTGTTTTGTTTGTTTGTTTGTTTTAATCTGCTTCTTTGAGTAGGTTATATTACTTCCCAATTTTCCTTAATGTTTTGCATGAATGATAAAATAGGACAGATAAATCCTTGCTTGATATGGGAAAAAAATACCACCTGCAGAAAACTTAGTACTACCTGTTCTTTGTTATATATATTGTGCTTTCTTATCCAAGGCAGTCGGAGATATGCTATATTCTCTCTGAAGCTGTAGTAGCACAATTGAATCTGATGTGTAATCAATAATTCCTTAATTGTGCTGAAAAATACTCATTGATTGTTTTTCCTGTGAAGACTTTCAGCCATCCTGTCCCCTTGAACAAGCTCTGCCTTGTCTGTAGCTCTATTTAATACTTTGTGGAATTGCAAATCAGAATCTTTAAATATATTTTACTTGTTTGGTTCCTGACCAGAAATCATGCTGTGACAGATTGGAGGTTCTGCCTATGTACAGCTAATGAATTCTGGTCAGCATTAAGGAATTGCTATATCATCAAATACTTCGGCATGTCAGAGCGAGAAAAGGCTGTGAAGGTTATTTTGTACAGTTTCAAAGTTGGAGGCCATTGAGGAGGTTCATTAAATTTTAATGTTTTCCATTTAGATAGCAGCACTTTGAGACAATGACACGATCACACCTCAGTAAAACCATCCTTTTCCCAACCCTGTCCTGGCATCTAAGGTTTGGAAAAAGACAAATTTCCAAACAGAAAACTGAGAAATCCGGTGTTTCAGCTGTGTCATGAAAATGGAAAACTTGCGGCTAGACTGGTGAGAGACCTTCAAGCTCTGCACAGCTGAGTCAATGGAGAAGGTATAGGATGTGGCTTCCATAATTTGCTTCCAACAGAGCCAGTTGGGTTAGCTTAAGCAACTGTGGAAGGTAGCCTGACCTTAACCCAGCTGTCTGCATCTCATTTGGGCAGGGAAAAAGGCTCCCCCTTGTGAAGCCCTCTGCCTGCACAGCTAGGGTGAGGTGGGCTTGGGTGGGAAAGGACCAAAAGACTGCTGAGTGCAGTAGGGTTTTCAAATAGACACAAACACGGATACCTGTCTATGGTCTGAAAAACTCCAAAAAGAAAGGAAGTAAAAGTTTAGAAGGAATCTGAACTACAGTGGATAAGGTGAGGAGAACAAATATTTTGCAATTGGTGAGGGCAATTTATTTGAAGGACAAATTGAAGAAGAAACAGTCTGCAAAGGACAGACAGAATTACAGTGTCATTGAGAGAGCATACAGGACATCTCTGCCATCCTCAGAGGTAGATTCCAAAAGCACTTGGAAAGTAATAAAAAACTGAAGCAGAGGAAAGAATATGAATGGTCGCACTTTTAGCCAGATTAGCATATTTTTCATGTAGAATGTAACATGGTATGTAGGTGGTTTTGGAATTCTGATAATATTTGTGCATTTCTCTCTTCAGCACATGTCCCTGAAGGAGTGCCTGAATAGTAAGAGCAAAATGCCCTGTGTGGATTAGACATCTGGAAAAGCGTGCATGTAAGCTAGAAGAGAGTTTGCGAGGTTTAGCATTAGGCAAAAGCAATGAGGTGACTTGTGAGGTTCCCCTTCCTGGAAGCAATGTCACAGGAAGTCTGTGTCCAGAAAATAAAACAGGGAAGTTGAAATAGGAGGTGCTACAATTAGACTAAAACAAGTATGAGAGCATGTGGGTGGACACAACCACAGTAACCTACTGAATGTCAGCTGAGAGGTTCAACTGACCATAGAATCATAGAATGGTTTGTGTTAGAAGAGACCCTAAAGATCATCTAGTTCCAACCCCTCTACCATGGGCAGGGACACCCTCTACTAGACCAGGTTGCTCAAAGCCTCATCCAGCCTGGCCTTGAACACTTACAGGGATGGGGCATCCACAACATCCCTGGGCAACCTGTTCCAGTGTCTCACCACCCTCTCCGTGAAGAAGTTCTTCCTGATACCTAATCTAACCCTCCCCGCTTTCAATTTAAACCCATTACCCCTTGTCCTGTCACTACAGGCCCTTGTAAAAAGTGCCCCCCAGCATCCTTGTAGGCCCCTTCAGGTACTGGAAGGTTGCAATGAGGTCTCCTCGGAGCCTTCTCTTCTCCAGGCTGAACAAGCCCAAATCTCTCAGCCTGTCTTCATAGTTAGGAAAACTGCAATAGTCTGAAAAATGAGTAGTGTGGTATTGAAGGATTTCTGTCTGTTTTCTCAATAACACTGGAAAGAAAAGATTCTTCCTGTTTTAAAAAAGTAAAAAGAAATAAAATATTTTTCTCCAAGGCCCTGATAAAAGCTGGCAACGATTGAAGATAGAGCTTGTTAGGTAGAAACCCAGATTGTAGTGCTTGCCCTGTGGAGTGTACGTCCAAAGTGTGGGCTGTGCTTTATTGAATCATTCTAGTTGTTACTCTGCTGTTGAAATTTGTCATACTTAACCTGACTAGCCACACCTAAAATGGGAATGGAGTCTTAAAGTTTAGCTTGCAGAACTTGCAAAGATATGGGAGATATAAAATCAAATCTTGGATGTCTTGAAGTTGGAAGTTCAAATCCTTGGATTCAACAGTGGACTGTCTGAATGACTTGCTTACTGGCTTTCAGAAAAAACCTCTCCCAAAATACACGAGCCACACTCCCTCTCCCCTCCCCATAATTCCCTACCTGCTCAAGCTTTAAAGGCACTCATTTGATGTATTTTCTATACAAAAACTTTATGCTGTTCTAATTCACTGAATGATTAAATATGTGAGCATTTCATTATCTTTTCAAATTCCATGCTTATGAACATATCCTCTATATGCATAATACGATATTAATTGGAACTTTTTTCCACTAGGACTTAATTTGCTTTGCCTTTCAAAGTTCAGGGAAAGGGTATCTATATTGAAAAAATATTTCCAGATATTAGAATATCTATTACTGCAAACCTTTTGGTATAACGAGCATGTTTTTGTTAAATATATTCATCCCACCGTAATTTCTATTGCAACAAAGAGGTGGCATTGGACAGCAATTTTTGTCTGATTTCAGATTAGTCAATTTTCATTGCTGAGCTCAGGAAGGAAGCCTAGAATATAATCTGATGACATTCCTTGTTATAGGTCTTTATGATTCAGAGTGCCAATGGCAGCCTGGACATGAGTTAATATTATTTAAATATACTTCCAAAATATCAAACTACCATCGAAGCAGATATTCTTTGTGTATAGATCCAAGATTAAATTATTGCCTCCCTTTGTGGCCCTAAAATGACAGAAGGAACAGGCCAAAAGGGAGAGGTCAGGATATCTTTGTTGCATCTGCTACACTAAAAAAGTACCAAAGCTGCTTGCAGGATGTTCCCGTGGAGAACACAGTGCTAGAGGCAGACTGCTGTTTAAGCAACCCTTTTGCAGGTTTTGTGGATGGGGTAGCAGCTTGTGGATATAAATGTTTGGCCATACTCGACCATAAGAACAGGTATTAATTTATTCAGTGTTGTTCTGATGACCCTTGGCATGCTTCGTGTCCCATACCTTTATCCCACAAGGCTGTGGTTGCCATATAATGCACCACACTGTACAGGACTTAGGGCTGTTGGGTTTTATGTGTAGACTTACAGATGTTTTGTTTCCCGTGGCATCATAGTAGTAAATGTGAAAGCTGAATAGAATCACCTGTGAGCTTGGTTTTCCACTCAAAGAGTCAATAGTGTCAGCAATAGGGAATAGGAGAAGATAGAGCTTTTAAGATTAAGTCAGAATTTCCTATTCACCATTGAAAACAAGAGATTTTTGAGAATGTAATTACTTGCATGGATGTACTTAGTTATTGTTGTGGAAAGTATGGGAAAGCAAAACCCCTGCTAACCTAAAGTTAAGACACATAGGGTTTTGCTATGAAAGATTGTCTCCATTTTTCATTGTTTGGAGAAGAGTTTTACTATGACTCTCTACCACCTAGATATCTGAACCACTAAGCTTTATGTTATCTTTAAATTAGTTTTCTCCAATAGCTAATAGTTTTTATCTTAAAATTAAACAGTCTGAAAAAGTTCTGCCTTTCTGGTTTAATATTGTACTATGTTGTTTTTGGAGAGACACATGTTGCCTTCAGAGAAGATGGAAATAAACCATCCTGTCTGACTATTGGGGTTCATTGTCCCAGTTGCGGTGTTATATTTCCTGCTTGCAGCTGGACTAAGGGTAAATTTTTCTCCTTTCAATGGACACTCACAGCTGCTTCATAGGCTGCCATGGAGATACATTTTTGCAGTGTGAGGTATTTACTACTGTTCAACTGCAATTCATGTTGTCTTTATAACAGCAAGGTTTGATTGTGAGTTCCTACAATCAAAGTTAAAAATAACACCACTTCTATGCTCATATGTGAATAAAGATAAATTTTAGTTAGGTTGAAATATTTATTTACACTGAAGAACTTACTTGGAAGAAGATGGAGTCTTTTCCCAAATACACCAAAACCCAATGAAAGGGTATGAATTGGAAATTATTTTATAATGCAAAATATGAATTATTTTAAATTTTCTTGTTTGGATTTATCCCTGAAATTGCAGGACATGATGCTAAGACTGTCCCAATCAGTGTCCAAACTATAGCTATTATGCCATCCTGTGATCCAGGATGAATCCTATTTCTGTGTTAAAAGCGTAGGTTTATGTCAGTTTAGGATTAGTATTTCTAAACTAAAGTGGGATAATGTAATGGTCTAGGGTAGTTCTGATATTAAGTATTGAAAATACACTTATTTACAGATGTATTCAGTAAAATTGGGAGTCCAAGTTCGAAAGTTCTGGAAATGCACAGAATTCAGATTTTTTTACAAAAAGCTTTATTATAGTTTTATTAAAAGTCATTAAGGGACTGTGTACCATTTGTTCTAGTGATATGGTTTTCAGCATTATTGTCCACCATTGTCAATATTTAACTTGTCTGAAAGTAAATTAGTCTGTCAAAACAATAGTAGAAGGAAACAAAAGCCAAAATAAAACAATTTTTTCCTTTTTTTTTTTTTTGTCAGTGCTGATTATAATCAGAATGGAATGGAAGAGGAATTGGCAGGAAAACTATCAAATAGCATACTTAAAATTATATTAACACATTATTTTACCTTAGTAACATTATCAATTTTTTATTTCTCTGTGGAAAGCTCCCTGTAAGCAATTAAATATAAGTAGTCGGTCTTGAATCTGCCCAAATAAGTAAGACAAAATAAAAAACTTTTAATGTTCCCAAACAACTTTTACTTACCATAAGAAAGAATTGAGGAGAGATGGCTTCAGTTCTGCAGAATGTTGTTATGATAGTTTTCTAGTATTAGCCACACGTGATTTAATTAGGTGTTCTCCTCTGATTGCAGATCGTTTTAAACTTCACCACCATGGACCTTTACAAGAGCAGTCTCTGTTGGTATGACTATATTGAAGTAAGAGATGGCTACTGGAGAAAATCACCTCTTCTTGGTATGCAAGTGCTGAATGCTGCACTGTCCATAGTTACACAATTACTGAATTCAGTGGACTTGCTGGCTGTTGAACCCACAACAAACTCCTTGCTTTTTAGGTGTCTAGAATGTATCTAAACTTGAGGGTGGGGAAAAAACTCTAAATGGCCTCAAATAAGTTTGTCTGACTTCAAGTCTCAAGCATTCCTTTCATTGCAGCTAGCTGTTAGCTGCATGTGTGGCAAAATGAAAAATACGAAATGTGCAACTTTTTGCTTTGCTTATGGGTATTGAAATATGAAGTTGCCATAGTTTTGTTCACACAAATGGGGAAATCGTATGCAGAAAAATCTGTAGAGCATGTGATGGGAAATCCAGAGAGCACATGATGAGCACATACACTGTGGTTGAGAGCACCACTGTAAAGTTGTACTTACGAGTCTGTTCCTGTACTTTTGAAATTGTGAATAGAAGGTTAATTCTGATTCTTTGCATGTCCTTCCCTACTCTTGCAGAGAAAATAAATGCAAAGCAATAATGAATTATGTCTCAGAGCTGCAGCGAATATGCAGGAAGCAGCAGCCATCCTTTTCTTCATTCATAGGGTTGGTGGGGAGATTTCACACCCCATAATGCCACAGCCTAATACAGACACTCGGTGTCACGCTTGTCATCTTCTCTGATCGAAAATTCTCCGATTTCAGACCATAGGAAACACGAACGTCTCCAACTTCTTGGGATAGTTTTGTTGGTTTTAGAATGAAGACTAAAACTGTTTGTTAGCATATAACAGCCACAATTTAACAACAGCACAAAAGACAGTCAGGAAAGCAGATACTGAGGACATCTTTTTAACAGCAGTGCCTATCTTTTGGCCTTAAAACAAAAGAAGAAACTATTAAGACCATAGTCATTACCCTTTTCTCCTCCTCCCTTCTCTGTCACCTAGACAAACAGAAATTTCACCTATCTAGGCTGAATTTAAGAGGAAAATATAGTCTAGGGCCATTTAAATGTTAGTTTCTAAATCTCTTTGGTCCTTAGACACAATGAGCAGTATTACGGTGACCTAGGTTACATTCTTTTCTCAAGGTTAGTACTCACTTTCCACTTCTAAAATGCCTGAGTTTATATGTATAGAAATAATCTATAACAATAATTTTTCTACTTAATTACCCTAAGGTTTTATTCTTAGACTTGTGAGCCTCACTGCAGTGAAAAGAAGTACTGAAAGGTTTATAATATAATCTTTGTGTATTAGGTCTTGATCTGCAAAAAAATATGTGCTTAACCATAAATGTGTGAATAGTTCCACTGAATTGGTTATGCTGCTCCTATTTATAATGTCAAACACTTGTATAAATGTCTGCAATGTTTGGCTTCAGAGGTGGCAGAAGATGCAGTTACTGGTTGCATGTTTTTAGGCAGGTTTTGTGGTGACAAACTGCCAGAAGTCCTTGCATCCTCTGACAGCAGGATGTGGATCGAGTTCCGCAGCAGCAGCAACTGGGTTGGGAAAGGTTTTGCAGCAATTTATGAAGGTAAACCTCTTATAGCATTAAAAGTGACTTCATTATGGAAGAAAAATATTGACCTGATACCTTTGGATATTTAAAAAAAAAAACCAAACTGAAATAAACTAATATGAAATCAATATTTTAGTACTAAAAGAGACAGTAGGTGTTAACTTACTAGATAGAACATTTTGAAAATCTTTCTGCAATCATATTTCAGATGACCTCTTGTCCAGAGACACCACTTGTAATATTCATAAACATTTTCTGCTAGTTCTTTAATTAACTACATGTGCATGTTCTTGTGCTTAGTGTGTGGAAAGATTTCTTTAAGTTTGTGTTTATTCTTCAGAAAAATCTGATTTAAGTTTCCCATATGCTCAGAATGACTTAATAGAGTCACTCCTACACACTGAGTATATTAACAAGTCAACATTCACCTGTTTAAAATAGATCCTGTTTTCTTAAATAGTGAACCTATGGTAGTAAACTGTATGATTTAGTTGATATTCACAGATCTGTACATGATTGTCAGTATGGACCCTGAAAAGTGCATTTAATTTCCTTGAAAATATTTTTTATTTATATTAGCTGTTTCTTCAAATTCAGTGTAAGCTTGAAGTGGTACACTGTAGGATAAAATGCATAGATCATTATAAAATATGAGATTTCTGTCCTATTTGTCTCTTTCTGAAGGTTATTAAATATTAATGAAGAATGTTTATTAAATAATTTCAAAGGTGAAAAAACATAGAAAGTTAAGTATTTTGACCTTTTTAATATATTCTGTAAAATCTATAGATTCAGATTATCCATGATTCCAAAGTCTTCCTGAACACTGTAGGCATGTTTAAAGCTATTAGAAATGCTGAATTACGTTTGTTAACTGAAATATGTATAATGGTTTAAACAGATTATGTTTTCAATAATTTGTCCTTGGTAGACTTTTTAAGTCTTCTCCAGAACAATCTTATCATTAGTTTTTTAAAAGGGGAGCATAAAGTTCCAGTTTGGGCATGGGGAACAGAGAATTTCATTACTGACAATAAGAATTTTATGCTTTTATCAGCTATCTGTGGAGGTGAAATCCACAAGAATGAAGGCCAGATCCAGTCTCCCAATTATCCAGATGACTACAGACCAATGAAGGAATGTGTGTGGAAAATAACGGTGTCAGAAAACTACAATGTAGGATTAACCTTTCAAGCATTTGAGGTAAAGCCTTTCAACTGATCTCAGAAAAGCATCTAATAGATAAATGACAGTGACATTTAAGAGAAACCTTATTAAACCTGTGAATGAATTTAAGAATTCCTTATGAAAAATAAGCTTCAGAATCCAATTTTATTCTCCATGAAACCTTCCTTTCTACAAGGTTTTTAATGTTTTCTATGCTACTTGAAGTAGAATATTTAAAGTACTGACAATAGTCACAGTTTAGCAGATACATAATCCAGTTCAGCAAGACTGCTTTAATATTCTGTTAAATAATCAGGAATTTTTATCTTTGCTAAATCTTAGTGTTAAAAAGGAATGTCTATCTGGAAAGAAACCACTGTGGTTTTGGCTTTTGCTTTGAGAAAAAAGAAAAAAAAAAAGCCTACTTAAATTCAGTTTTCAAACCTAGATTTAGAAAGGGAAGAAAAAAGCCATGGTGAGTCATACTTGTGTGCCTTTAGTGTATGTCTCTCTGTGCATAACATTGCTTAACAGTGGTAAATTATTGTATAACAAAGAAAAATAATTTCATTTGTCTTTTTATGTAAACATGACACACTGCCTTGAATTTTGTAGATAAATGTAGTAACATACTTTGAGTTCAGTTGTTTTATTTGAATGTGTTTCAGCAGTAATGACATGAAGAACACTCTTTTTTGAAATCTAAACTTTTGGCTTTATAGTGCACATAGATATAAACACAAGTATAGTAAATCTAGATATAATTTCCAACCTGTAGTTTTAGTCTCGCAAACAGACTTCAGGATTATGGCACATGTTTGCTCTGACTGATGAAAGGTCTGAGCATGCGTTAGCAAGGATTTGGGACTTTATCAGCAATTATGAATGTAAACAATGGAAATTTTAATAATTTTACAGATTCTACTTTATTTTCCCTTTTTCATATCCTGAATTAATGTTGGATCTAGTGCAGACAAGATCAGCTCTTCTCACTCAAAGTTTTCCCAATATCATCCAAACTCTGCATGACCTGGCTCAAGTTTACTTAACGTAGTATGTCAGTCTCTCTTTTTAATCACTGCTTAAAAAGAACAATGTTTTCAGTAGCTTTATATAATTTACTGACAAGATATGAAGCTTTTCTCATCTGCCATTGGTGCTCAACACTTCTTAGTGTGATTCCAAGAGAAATGGCACTATGCCTCGGCATGAGAGACTTGTGATAGTATTGATCTCCATGCAGATGCTCAGCGTTGGTCTACGTGCATGGTACATTACCGCTTGAACGGATGCAGATCAATGTCTTCTCATGGAGAATCAAACTTCCATCACTTCTTATCTTTCAGAACCTTTTTCTGATCAACAAATTATGGACTATTTGCAAGTGTGAAGATGGCATTTTCATGCCTCACCATATAGAGAATAATTAAAAGCAAAGGACCATCAAATGAGAGCACGATTTAGTAGGCTTGTGGTTAAGGCTGTAAGAAGAAATGCTGAGTTTTTCCCCCAGACTGTTTAGTATTATGGCACTCTCCAGAGGTGAATGAAACATGTGGACTGATACCTCATAAGAAGAAAGAGGAAATTGAGCAGAATTATAGTTTAGTGGTAGTCTCAAGTAAGTGCCTCTGCTAGATGTGTTTTGAAAGAAAAAAAAAATCCAATAGTAGAAACCTGAAAGGTACATACTTTTCCAGGGACAGTCTAAGCTGTGATTCCAGCATGTCTAGATGCTCTTGAACACCAAATGAGGTGTCTCAGAATGGCGCAAGACTTCTGTTATGTCTGTCTTAGAAATGTTTCTTACTGGCTCACCCATAGGGCTCCCCGCTGAGAGGGAGAGTTTCTTTGGAATCTGCTCTGAAGTGCCTTGCCTAGACATTCACCATTGGGTCTGATTTCCATTTCAGGTCCAAGTGCCTGAATGTAGGTGTTCTGTTCTTTGGTATTAAATCCCCCTCTGGAATGAACCCTTGGTGCACTGCCCAGTAAAACAAAAAGTTGTTTAAAAAAATCACGGTTCTTCATGCCAGCTGAGATCAAAAAAAGTAAATGTCAGGTCAAAGAGTTATTGCAGCGTGTTTGTGAGAAAATTACTTCTCTGTCCTTTGAAAGGTACAGTTAAGTAAGAGGAATTCTCATTATCCATATGTAATGCTAGAAAAAATAACTGTATAAATAACTTTCACTCTGAAATGAAAGCACTAGGGAAGCTGAGAATTTCAAACTGTATCAATGAGTCATCTTGTTTTGCCTGCTGTGGCCAACGCATTATCCACTGAGTGTGGGATTGTCCTTTATTATTTGGCAGCATAATGGGCAGCTACAGTTTTCAGTATCTAGGTGACAGCAGAGATGTTGGGGACCCTTCTAATCCAAACCATTCTATGATTCTATGAGTGGTCACTCCATCTTTTTGCTTCATTGTTGTAGTCACCTTTGTTATATTGTCCTTTGAAAATTAGTGGATCTTGGTGTTTTATTTTTAGTGGGTTTGGTTTGGGGTTTTTTTTTAAAGAACTTTCATTAGCATGAAGTCTCAGCAGCTAAGGCAATCCAGAGGGTTTGTAAAGCTGAGTCATATATCAATCTTCCTCAGTCGAGTGGCCTTGTTAATCTTTATGCAGATAGTGTTCATTTAAACTATTTTTACATAAGTCAGGGAATAAAATTTATCTGAGATTCTGATTCCACTAGGCATGTATCCCACCTTTTATGACTAAAGTCTATGACCTGAGTCAGATCAATTTACTTGTACTGGAATGTGGATTTATCAAAAAATAAATTTAAAATGACAAAAAGAAATTGGAAGATTTCACCTGAAAAAAATGATTGTTCCAGGATTTGATCTTCAAATCCTTTTTTTTTTTTTCTTTTGACAGAGTGCTACAAAACAAAGGTAATCTGTAATTTTTAACCAGATATACTTTGGTCTAAAATCATTCATAGAATCACAGAATAGCTTGGATTGGAAAGGACCGTAAAGACCATCTAGTTCCAACCCCCCTGCCATGGGTAGGAACACCCTCCACTAGACCAGGTTGCTCAAAGCCTCATCCAGCCTGGCCTTGAACACTTCCAGGAATGGGGCATCCACAGCTTCTCTGGGCAACCTGTTCCAGTGCCTCACCACCCTCACCATGAAGAATTTCTTCCTTTTATCTAATCTAAATCTACATTCTTTCTGTTTAAAGCCATTGGCCCTTGTTTTATCACTGTGTGAGCTTGTGAAAAGTCCCTCTCCAGCTTTCTTGCAGGCCCCCTTCAGGTACTGGAAGGTGCTATAAGGCTGCTATAAGACTCGCTCCAACAGGTCCACTGGTCCATGTCCTGCTTCTGTTGGAAGCCGCTGACCTGGACGCAGTACTCCAGGTGGGGTCTCACAAGAGCTGAGCAGAGAGGGAGAATCCCCTCCCTCAACCTGCTGGCCATGCTTCTCTGGATACAGCCCAGGATATGACTGACTTTCTGGGCTGCCAGCACACACTGCCAGCTTGCGTTCAGCTTTTTCTCCACCAGTACCCCCAAGTCCTTCTCCTCAGGGCTGCTCTCAATCCACTCTCCATCCAGCCTGTACTTGTGCTTGGGATTGCCCAGACCCAGGTGCAGGACCTTGCACTTGGCCTTGTTGAACACTTCTCAAGCCTGCCAAGGTCCCTCTGGATGGTGGTGTCTTTTTCAAAACTAAGTCTATGTAAAAGGAATTTTATTTTCTTTTGAGAGTGGATGTTGAGAAAATCTCTGGCTTTCAATTTCTCCAGATTTCTTAATGTGCTTATGTGTCTGTCTTAGGACTTTTTTCTGGCATTTTCTCAACTTAGATCTCTAATGCCATTCAAATTCCATGTTTTTTCCAATGCCTTCAGGAACTGATGATATCTTTCTCCTATAAGCAATGCATTTTTCTGTAAAACCTGTTTATTGATGCTATTTTGTATTTGCTAACATTTTGCATATTTCTTCTCATCCACATATAATATCAAACTTGTGAAATTGTAATGCTCCGGTAAATATGGTTTACAGGATCAGTCCGGTTACAACTGAACTCATGGGGACTCCTTTCATTAACTTGAAGAGATTTTTCTATCCTTGTAGTAGGACGAATAAGAGGCTATTGTAAGAGTAATAGGTCTTTGTATGGCAGTGTTCCTAGATGGCAGTACCATGGCGTCTTAAAACCTGAGGTACAGATAAGCAAAGCACATTTTATACTAGCTCTTTTTCATTGGTTACCAAGTTCCTTAGCACCAATTATCATTTCGCAAAAACAAAATACACTTCTGTATGTTTATATACAGGCATAATGATTTAATCCCTTAATATGATAATATTTATAATAATAATGGCAACACTTGCATTAATAGCACACTAAAAATAAATGAAAATAGTAGAGTGGCCAGTTTTCAAATTGTTTTGTTGATAATCAATAGCACTTTGTAAGTTGTGTAATTTTTATAGTCTTAGGAAGTTTAGCATCTTACTGCTGTACAAAATATATTTTTAGCTGTTGTCTTCTGCTAGAGTGATTCTCAGTAAAGAAACTAAAGATTTACCTTAATAAGAATTTGGTACATGTAACTCAGAGCTGAACTTCGCTTCTGAAAAGTCATAGTTTCCATATTACCCCATAAAACATGGAAACATGGAAAAAACATGTTAATTAAAAGTCTTGAGTAGTGAAATGATCACAGACGTGGAGAAAATACACAATTCCTTCATTGATATTACTGGGCTTTGGACCCGGTCACTTCTTTCTACATCAGAGTACAATACAATTTTTACTGAGATAACAAGGCAGACTTTGTTTCAAGTAAGAATGTGATGTCATGTGTTTAAACTTTATTATTTATAGTAATGAAAATTTGGAATTGATAGTACTATGTCAAAAACTTACCAGTTCTCAGGTAGGCACATGCCTAACGATTTTAGTTGTAAACAAACAATTGCCATTGAAGTCAGCAATAGGTAGTTGCATCCCAGATCTTTAGGAATTTTCTCACTAATTTCCCGAACTCTGGCCAAAGCAATTCCTGAGCAAACAGCTAAGAAATTACAGTAAATGGCAATATGGTTTGTGCCAGAGAAATGAGTGGGAGAAAATTACATATGTAAATACTTGAAGAATTGCAAAGTTGGAAAGAAGACAGACAAATTTTATGTGTAAGTGCCATATTCTGATGCCATTAAAATGAAATAAAATCAAACAGCCCCTTTCCCTAATTTTCCCTCTTACATAAAAGAAGCAGAATTCCTAATATGCTAAATAAAATCTCCTTAGTCTGTGGTGGTTACTTAGCTTAGTGTTGGACTTACTGCACAATTAGAGCAGAGTACCAGCAGTCACTGGTATTAACTGTGCAGCTTATGTGCAAGAAAAACTCTGTCTGGAGACAATATGTGGATGTTTTGGGGTTGGTTTGGACTTTGTCATTTTAACAGATATTGGATTTGCAGACTTAAATTTGAGGCTTCTTTAACCCCTTCTCCCTGAATGTGATGCTGCCTCCCATACCTAAACCTACCTCACGATTCAGCCACTTAGTGGAACAACAGTTGTCTTAGAGGAATTATTTTTGAATGCTTGGATTTAGTTAATTCTTTTATAACTAAGATTCTATATCACTTGAATAATGTGAAGTAATCCTGCAGTATAATGACCCAGATCAAGAGGGTTTTTAATTCTGTTGGGAAAGATACTCTCTCAATAAAGACAGGAATCATAAAATATTCAGGCTCTGGTTAGGATCATATTTGGGGTGCTACTGCATTTTTCTTTGTTGCAATTCCCACTCTGACTGACTCTACGAATACTGTTACATAAAGAGCACAAGGCTTGCTACCCAAGTAGAAATGCACACATCCACTCACATATTAAGCACTGTTTGGATGTCATCTGGCAGGACTTTTAAATGAGGGACATTTTCAGTTGTTCTGGTGTCAGTAGGTTTCTTAAACAGTACAAAAAAATTCATTCATTAACCCAGAAAATCAAAAGAAGACACCTGAAATCAAGAATCGTCCAACAGAAACCAGGCACATCAGCTGCAGAAACAAAATGAATATGTATTTTTTGTCATCTGTTCCATTGGCTACCTAAAAGCTGATAATTTTGAAAGTGTGTTTGAATCTAGTTCTACAGATGCCCAAAACTAATAAGGTACTCTAATTTTTTTACGTTTACCCCACAACATCAGTGGGTAGCAACAAAAGCAACTGTGTTGATGATAAGGGAAGAAAATAAAATATTGATCATCACCTGAAATAGCAGAGGTTGATAATGACTAAAAAATCTTATTCATAGTAATGAAAATAGAAGGTTTTAATATTTCAAAATCAATATTTATGATCTATATAGTTACTGAATCATCAATCTTGTATACTTGCATATAAGTGAGAAAGGAAGACTTGATCTCAGAGTAGGAATTTGACAGAACATTGCAAAGCTTAGAGGCAAGTGCCTCTTTTCTAGTTACTTTTTTCCAGTTAGACTGTTGTGCACAGTGTAACATCTCAACAATTTTTCTTGTAGAAGACGAGTATAGTTAAATACAGTCCAGTGATGCGTATACATCTTCCTGATGATTGAACCCTAAACAGAGAATACTAACCTTAACTTTGACAAATGTCTAATCTGCTTATTATCTGATTGATGTTTGATATTTATGGTCAAGTTCAAATATGTCACTTTAAAAATAATTTTTTACAGATTGAAAGACATGATAACTGTGCATATGACTACTTGGAAATTCGAGATGGAACAAATGAGAACAGTCCTTTAATTGGTCACTTTTGTGGCTACGACAAGCCAGAAGACATTAGATCTACCTCTAATACCCTGTGGATGAAGTTTGTTTCTGATGGAACTGTTAACAAAGCAGGGTTTGCAGCTAACTTCTTTAAAGGTAAAGTCAACGCATATTTTGGGATCTGTGAACTGCTTATCTCTTCGTTTTGTAATAGAAAAATTATGACAGGATAGCAAAAATATTTCTCAACTTGTTTTTACTAATATCTGTTCTGTACTGTCTCCAGCATATTTGTTACCCGGGCACACAATTTTATCAAAAAAAACCAAACACCAGTAGAGGTATTTGAATCTTCTTGTAAAATATGTCCAAAGAATGAAGGAACATATTCAGTGCAATTTCCTACTCTCTTCAGGTTCAAATAATCAGCTTAGTTTTGAAACGCCTGTGAAACATATCTGGTCTTGTAAAAAATGGCTTTTTTGACACTGTGTTATCGAATATAAAGTTAAATAGTATAATCACAAATAGGTCTTTTCTGTTAAGGTTTTTTTCTTTTGTCTAAATGTTGTGGGTTTTATAATCCATTTGCTGTGTTAGGCTGCTTTATCAATGTATTGCTTTCTGTGAGCAACAAAAAACCCCAAACACAAAACAGCTGAGAAATGCTGGTCACTGATCTCACAGTCTTCCTTCAGTTTTGGGCAGGGGTGTGTGTGTGTGTGTCATAAAACTGCTGCTGTAAGTACTACTGGGGAGTGTGTAATTTCTACTCTGTGCTGCCTGTGGCACAGTGAAGGACACTAGTAGTGGTGTGGACATGATGACACCCAAAATACAGGTCACCTCATCAGGAGAACCTCTCTGGTCTTTTGAAAAGCTACCAGCTAGGGCTTTTCTCACCCTAATTGTTAGTTTTCACTGTAGACAATTATAATTTTGAAGGCTGTAGACATAAGAGTGAGAGCTGTGATTTATTCCTAAGAAATTACTTGTTCTGGTGTAAGGAAACAATATTTCAACATCTGAGGAATATTTTAACAATGAATCTCGTGGGTATACTTCAGAGCTAGTAGAGATAATACGTTATTTCTTTCCCTCCCCCATCTCTGATGTATCTTGTTTCCTTTAATATCAGTAGAATGAAAACCTGGGATTTGAGGATTCTGTTAATCTGGTTTTGAGTATGAATTTAGGATAATACACAACTTGATGCTGTGGGAGATAAAGTGCCCTTCAAATGACCCTGCTGTGGATTTTCAATTTTTCTTTCAATACTCTATACAACCTTTAGATTACGGCTGCCTGAATTATTGTGTGCTGCCCACAAAGTGCTTATGAATTAGGTCTGCAGCTGTCAGTAGGTATTGTAAAAAAACCAAAAAAACCCAAACAAACCCAAAACAACAACAAAAAAACCCACCCAAACCTGGCAAAGGACAAATTTTTATTTTCTCCATTGCAGGTCTCCTTAGCATTTGACAATCCTCTAGTCAGCAGTCACAGTGTGTTATGTAATGCACCTTATAATGGCATGCATACAGTTTTCTGGGTTAATATTGATCCAGAAATTACAGCTGAGGAAGGTAATTATTTAACACAGTTTTGCATTCTTCCCTGTCTTGGCAGAGGAAGATGAATGTGCCAAACCAGACAATGGTGGCTGTGAGCAGCGCTGTGTAAATACTCTGGGCAGTTACCAGTGCGCCTGCGATCCTGGCTATGAACTTGGTCCTGACAAAAAGAGTTGTGAAGGTACAGTGCGTTGCTGTGTTATGGGCTCTTAAAGCTCACAGGGTGCCATTGCTTGAATGAAATGCTACACCTCTCGTGCTCTGTGCTAGCAGTGTGAGATCTGTGGAACTCAACCTGGAAAACCAGTGCTCCCTTTTAAGTAATTGTGCCAGAGTAACATCTGTCCATAACAGTCGTCTTCACCCAGTGTCTGTCACAAATCTAGCTTTACAGGTTTTGCTGTTAGCTGGTTTGGAATGATGCAAAATAGGACTTTGTATCTTAGAATCATACAATCATAGAACGGTTTGGGTTGGAAGGGACTTTAAAGATCATCCAGTTCCAACCCCCCTGCCATGGGCAGGGACACCCTCCACTAGACCAGGTTGCTCAAAGCGTCATCCAGCCTGGCCTTGAACACTTCCAGGGATGGGGCATCCACAGCTTACCTGGGCAACCTGTTCAGTGCCTCACCACCCTCTCCGTGAAGAACTTCCTCCTGATATCCAAACCAAACCACTTATTATTCATACTCATTAAAGCAAAGTCTCACACCCTGGAGACAGTTATCAGCACAGCAAAGTGCTAGTGTCTCAGAAATGGAGAATTTAATAATCTCTCTGATCACCTCTGACTGGGATGTGATGGAGAAGCTGGCAGGTTTGAAGAGCAGGATCCTTTATTCTAGCTCGAAGCTCAGAGAAATCCTTCCCACTTCCAGTCAGGTTGTAGATTTTTCTTGCTGCAAATAAATTCTACTTTTCAGGGTGAGCAAAGTGTGTTCAAAAATCATTTAGAGAAATAAAAACCTGAGAAGTGGAAGTCTGTGTAAACATAGGATTGGACTGAGATACATTTTTACATTCTGTCCATATTTCATATCACAGGAAAGAAGCAAAAACTTTTGATCGCTATGCATCAATCGTCAAATTTTTATTCATAAACACCAATAAATTCAAGGATAGCACAATTTATTCTTAGTTCATCTGTTTGAGTAGTGAATGGAGTTTGAAAATTGGAGTGCTCAGAGTTACGGTTTTCTTCTGATCCAATTCACTGGTCTCTCTCTTTTCCAGTTTCCTGGCTTTAATTTATGATTTGTCACCATATAGGATAATTTTTCTTAATTTCTTTCCACATTTTGTTGTTTTGCTTTTTATTCTGTGGGGTTGGTCTTGTTTGTTTGTTTGTGTGTGTGAGGTGGTGATAGTCCTATACTACAGGCATGTTGGATTGTGGCTCTGGTTGGTTTTTAGTTGTGTGTGTGTCCACTTTAATAGTGAGCACATTGCAAAAACAAATTATTTAGAGGTCTGCATGTTAGGCAGTTTGTGAAAAACAAGGTTAATATAAGGGAGACTATGAAGATGGAGGTTTGAACTCTGGGCCTTTGATGATCAGCCCAAATTTATGTCAGGACTTTGGTTTAGTCTGCCTGCTGACCTGAGTCAGAATATTAGGGAAGATTACCAGTCTTTCAGAAAACTATTCCCTCTGCCTCTGAGAAATAAAGGAGGAATACCTTCTCAGCATCCAAACAGAAAAGCAACTCTGTCAAAAGGAGAAAAAACATTCGGTGTTAGCACAGAGCAGCTGGAAGTACATGGAGCTTTCCCCAACCTTTAGGAAGAGATTTGTGGATGATTTCCAGTGCTGTAATGGTATCAATGCAGCAGAATGTGATCAAGAGCCTCCTGCAAATCTCATTACTTTCCTTTTTTTTAAAAAAAAAAAAAATCCACAGCTGGAAAATATTAATGTTTTTATCCTGAACTGCATTCACATAGTACTGTATTGTCCTGTTGTATGGAGGTGACTATTCAGCGTATCTTTAAAAGTGATAGGTATCTTCTCAATTACTTGAACATCCATAGTTCAGCAAAAATAGTTGTGACTGAAGAATACATGACTGCTATCCCAAAGAAGTGACACTAACTAGTAGATTATGGGAAGCATATGCAACTACATGAGCTGAGACAGGCAGGGCTGATTCTGGATCAATAACCAAGGAGAGAAGAGGGGGTAATGCGAAGCACATCTTAAGTAGTCCGTCCATCAGAAGAGGGGTGGTCAAGGTCCTGAGGAGGGCAGTGAGGTCAGACGACTAGCATGAGAAAGACTGCGAGAGAATAACCAGAGTCTCTGGAGGGAAGGGAAAAGAATGAATATGATAACGCCTTGTGTAGTCCTGAATCTTATCTCTGTCCACAAACCTGCAAGCTGTTCAAGATACGGGCTGTCTCCTTCTCTTTGTTTGCACCAAGCATGATAAAAAAAGTTTCTGATTAGTCTGTCTGGGCATTACAGCAGTATAAGTAATGAGAGAACTGAATCTTCTCAGTGTGCTTCTGTTTATAGTAAAACACAATTTCAGTCAAGGATTGATGCTCTCCCTTTTAATTTTACAGCTGCTTGTGGAGGACTCCTGACAAAGCTAAATGGGACTATAACCACACCAGGGTGGCCCAAAGAGTATCCTCCAAACAAAAACTGTGTGTGGCAGGTGGTTGCCCCAACGCAATACCGAATTTCAATGAAGTTTGAGTTTTTTGAGTTAGAAGGGAATGAAGTAAGTAACCGTGAACAAAGAGCTGCACAATCTGTTACACGCTAACCAGTTTCATGAGTGTTCCAAAATAGATATTGTCTTATAAAACTCCTGTAGACTGTTGATACACTGACAATAACCATAGATATTCTTGTTTTCATTTTGAGACTGTTTCTGGATTCTTTCAAAACAAACATGGAGAGAATAGGTCTCTTCTACATATCATCCAAATGTGTGTGTGTTACAAGAAATTAAAAAAAAAATGTTCTCTGCTGAGTCTCAGCTGACTTTTTTTAATCAACAAAGTAAAACAGAGCAAATGGCTGAGGCGTATTGGAAGGAATTCAAGAGAAGAAAATCTAGAGAAACCAAATCATCTTTACAGACTATGACTACAAAGAATACACATAAGCTGTGGTTACTGGTGGAGCGAGAGAGCATTTAAATCACTTACAAGTGTCTCATGGGGGAAATACTTTAAAAGGAACATTACCAGAAATAAGGCATAATAGAAGAGCAGCATTTTTTGAGCTAGACAGCCCCAGAGACATGGGGGATCCATCCCCAGGCTGGGGATAGGGATAGGTCAAAGACCTCCATATGGTATGGTCTGTGCCCTATGGCTTTAAACAAAGTGGTGGGGGTTGCTGTGTTTTTTTGGTGCAAATCAGTAAAATACGGGTTTCAACGTCATCTTTTCAGCCTCTCTTCTGCTTCCTAGGCACTGCTGTGTTACACCATTGAGTTCCCTTGCCACACACAAACCATAATACGCCGTAGCCATTGAGTTCATCTGTATATTCTTCCTCTGTATATATCTGGAACTTTGGTTTGCACCTCTCCTGTGCTACTAAATCTCAGCTTTTTATTATTAAACATTATTAGTAAGAATGGTACCTGTGAAAATCAGAAGAAACATATAATATCTGGAACATTATAATATATTGTTTGAGTGCTGATATAAAATGTATGCATCTTTTCCAATATTAAAATATTAATATTTTATATTTACATTTTTCAATTTTGATTTTACATTTACACTTGTAAAATTTTTGAAATATAGTGTAGTATGAAGGAACTTTAAACCCATCTGAAATTAAATTTTATTTCTAAATGAAATCTATGAAACCATCAAAACTAACCACTGAGGTATTGCTGAAATTGCTGGGATTTATTAATGTTGTGAACTATATTTGAAAACCATATGCATTGAGGTGAATTTATCTTGCAATTTATATAAATCAGCATGTGATAGTAACTCAAGTTTTATGAACTTCTGTGTTTTCTATATTATATAAAAGTATTTTCAACTGAATTAGTCACTTTCCAACTCTGCAACTTGTGAAAAATGTTCCAGTAACAGTGAAAATATAATTTACATCTAGAATGCATTATACTAAAACCGACTGGAAATATTGACAATCATTTAATATTTCATAGTGACAGAGAGCAACAAAGGCCAAACATCCTTTTCTACAGTTCCCCTCCAGCTCCCCTGACATTTCTTTTTTGACTAGAAATGGTGATTTATCAAATATAACTTGGATTTAATGGACAATCTAACCTCCGTATGAATCCTCCTGGCCACTGTTTTCTCTTAAGCCATTAATTGCAGACAACTGGGACATTTTTGATTAAATGATTGATAGCTGAGCCTAAGAAGCTTAGAAGTTTTTGGGTGGAAGGCTTTAGGTTGACCAAGGGATTATGTACTGAAATATTATCACGAGTAGTAGGCCTTGCGTAAGGCTATTTTTATTACATTATTTTATTTTATTTTTATCCTTTTAATGAAAATCACATGCATCGGACTTCCAAATTATAGCTATGCTACTGTTAAACAAAGATGTATGGTTTTAATAGTGCAGTTGTATATATTTGTAAATAAATGAATGTCTTAAATAAATCAGGTTAATAACTTATCCTGTAAGTTTCTAAGCAAGAATTATTCTTTTTTTTTTTTTTCTTTTTAATCTATGAGTTGCAAGCAGTAGAGGTTTGTAGGTTGAGTATGTGGTTTATAGCACAAAGATAAGTATAATTTTTAGGGTGAATATCTCTAGATTTTAGTCTAATGTTGCTGGGATTTTTAATTCTTAGATTAAATGAAAATATTACTAAGCAACTTAAATTTCAGATACTATATCTAAACTATATCTAATAACTATCAAATATAGTTTTGAATTTAATGCTTAGTATAGTTATGCCTTAAAGATCTTAAAATATTCTTACACTGTATCAATGAACGTTTATAAGCATTTACAAAAGTTTTTAGAGTAAGGGAAAAGTAAAAAAAGATATTTTTAACCTATTATTAACCAGCCTATACCAATCAGAGTTTTTGCATTTGTAAGCAACTTCATGCTTTTCTTTTGGTTAGCCAAAATATATTTTTCTTTTTTTTTTCAGGTTTGCAAATACGATTATGTGGAGATTCGTAGTGGCCTTTCTTCTGATTCTAAACTACATGGTAAATTTTGTGGTACAGAAGTGCCTGAAGTTATCACCTCTCAGTACAACAACATGCGGATTGAGTTCAGATCTGACAACACTGTGTCAAAAAAAGGCTTCAAGGCACACTTCTTCTCAGGTATAGAAAATTACTCTTGTGTTCCTGTGAGTGCTGCTGAGCATACCCTGACTAGGTGGAGTGAATACTATGTTTTGATATGAAAGTGAGGAAAGTGAGTGGCCTTTTCCGTTATAGTTCTCACAGTAGCTTTGAGTTTGTTACATTTATATAAGCATAAACCATTCTCCTGTCTTAAAATACTGTTCTGAGTTGTAATGTCTGTAGAATATATATGGAATGCATATATATATTTAAATGACATCAGAGGCAAATAAACTGTGTGAAACATGGACGAAAAAAGCAAATTTAATAAGTGTTCCTAAATTTCAATTGGATTTCTTTTATTCCAAGTTTTGTTACTATTTTTTCAAACCCTGGCTGTAATGTGATATGAATTACATTCCGTGTACATTTTTTTGGTTTTGATTTTTTTTTATTTAAGTCTCTTAATATACTGCATTAATTATTAAAATATCACTATGTGCTAAAACATTTGTTTAACATTATAGGTATTTTCTTGCCAAACTTTGCATTTCTTAATGTTTTGAGGAAGAATAGGGCCTAAGACCTTGCTCGTGCAAAAATGTGTGTCTTCTTATGTATGAGTGTAATTTCACTGGTGCAGATCATAGCAATGGAAGTTTATACCATCAGAGAACATGTATAGAATAGTCTACTAGACACAAGTGAAGCTGAAGATGTGAGAAAGTTTGCACAATGGTGGTTGCTGCAGTTACCGATTGAGAATAGACTATAAAAATCTATCTATGGCAGGATACCACCTGGTGTTAGTAGTGGAATTCTGCTTAGCGTTCTTCTTTTGTGCAAGAAGAACACATATGCACAGGTATTTTATCTCATGTAAAACACATAGGCACCTGTATTTTATCTCATGTAAAAGAAAACAGCAAAACAGTCCCATCCACCAACCTCCTCAAACTGGAAGTCATGCAGAAGCATTTGAAATTTGAATTCTGTCTCAAGTTTTTTGATAGCAGTTAAAAATCTGAATCTGGGGAATCCTGATTATTTTTAGCATGTAGCAAAATATATTGCTGGGTACTGCTGTTAGAGTTTGGTTGCTAAAATATTTTATCAAAGCTGGAATAAATTAGAAAGTTTTTTTTTTAGCTCTAATATAACTTAACTATGATGAAGTAGTAAGAATCAATATATTGTATACATGATGTGGTTTAAAAAATGAGGAAAATAACTGTCAAAACAAACAGATTAGACTTTCAGTGTTTTCTCATGGCTACTTTGATATTTTTCTTAAGGAATTATGAAAGATGAAAGGAAGTGTTTCATCTCATACAAAGAGTTTAGCCAACATTTTACTTCCTCTAATGCATATTATTTTTTCTAGTAATCACGTTTCTCTGGTTGTAGTCTTTCAAATCTATCTTGACATATAGTACCGCATTTTACTTTTATATGTATATTTTACAGCATTATCAAGAAGCTTTCAAGGTTTACACAGCATTTGTAATAAGTGTCACATATTTTAACTTTTTACATGAATAAGTATTGACATGTTCTGGCTCTAAAAATGGCTTGAAAATTAAATTTGTTACATATTTTCAGGATCTATACAGCTATGTCAGATAAGATTGACAATGACAGTTTTGTAATTTGTAAGCTCCGTAAGTCAGAATTTCTGTCTTGTAGACATGCTGAACATCTATACATTTATAGTCAGTTTAATTTTGGTTTTCTTTAAAGCAGTAATTTCCACAGACTTATCTATTTTTTTATTTATTTTAGAGATAGTTTAAATAATCTATTAATGTTATGAGTGGGTTCCAAAAAAAAAAAAAAAATCAGGACAATGCTGCATGTTTGGCAGAGACTGGGCTATAGTTCATGGAGTTATGGAGGGTGTATTGTCAGGAAGATTTAATCCTTCAGAATCATTATTTTCCTTGTCTTTTTCACTTCTGAATGAAATGTTTGTATCCCCCACAGGTGAAAACAGTTTTTTCCTGGTAATTTAAAAAAGATAAGCTTTGAATTACTCCATTGATCACCACAAAAAGTTTATTAGCCAGGGATATGTCAGAGCTAATGTTCTTTTTTCAATGAATAGGAACGTATTATGTGTTGTTATAATTATATTAGAATACATCTAATCCCTTTCAAAGAAAGATAGGTGATGCAAATAATCTTTGAGTCTGTAAGTATCTATATTTACTGAATGCTTCATAAAACATTTCTGCCATAATCTCGTCTCGTTTCATATGAGATCAGATAATTGGTATTTTATATTTATTCTTTATCAATTCTCTTCCAGCTATCATTTCTAGCAGATTCTATTCTTCTCTGTTATCTGGCTTTCCTCTTTTGACAGTATTTCCTGATCAAAACAGAAACTTTGTAGTGCTTGAGACAAATCAAACTTCTGAACTTAAAGTATCTAAAAAGAGGTTGCAATCTCTGAATAATTCATCAGACAAAACTCTCGTGACTGTCAGAAATCACTATAATATTCTTACCCCTGAATTGCTTAATATGGACATAATATGCTATTGGTCTGTCAATGAGGAACAAACTTCAGACTTCAAGTATGTTGACTTTTGGCAGTTGATAGCTAACCACTGTTCAGCTGATGAAGTGGCTTTTTTTTTTTTTTTTTGCCTCTTGGTATCTTTATATGCCTTCAGAATACAATGCTTTGAATATCTGTGGTGAATTACTTAGTGCTAGTGTCTAAGATACTTGCTGGAAGGTATTTAAGTTTTATTAATTAAACAACAGTAGAAATATGTGTAAGTATTTATTTATAAAAACATACATCATGAAAAAAAAAATCAGTAATGAGTAAAACGCTGCATCTTACAGTCTATTCACCAGTAAAGAGCATATGCAATGCTCAGCAAGAGAAGTGGGTAAATCAGACTAGTTGGAAGATTAAGAACTGTAATGTGTTCTTTTAGCACAGGCAAATAACTTTTTTTTTTTTTGGCAACATTTTCGGTGGCCAATTCCGCAGCCACAGCTATAGTTGAGAAACCTTGGCCCAGGTCCAACTCAGACGACAGAAAGCAGTTTTTGGGTGGTTGGGACCTGCTGTGATAAACTGTGAAAGCAAACAGTGACATAGAGCAACAGATGACCTGCGTTAAGAAGGTATTTATGTTGATATAAGACAACATGTAATTACATTTTTGGCTGTAAAATGGTGTTAACAGCCAAACAGGTGCTACTGGAAAGTGAGAAATTCTTTTTTTTTCAACATTCTGTAAAATTTACATTTGATGGGACAGTTCTGAAGAAAGCTCAGTTGGGAGCTGCTGCAGGGACCTAGCTAATCTCCAAAGACACTTGTATACTTAAAATTGAGTTTCTTGGGTCAAGAGAAGAAACTAGGGAGTCAGGAAATAATATTTTTTCTAAAACATTTATTAAGATATTTTTGAATTGGATATTAGGCTTCTAAATTAAAAGCTTCCAGTAATGAGGCTCATATGCTTTCTCTCTCTTTCTTCTGTACTTCTCTCTCTCTCCTGCTCTTTATTACAAGACAGTGACCTAATGCAGTCTGCTGGGCCAATAAGGCTAAATTTACTCTAGGGAGGAAAAAAGATAATAATATATACATCTTGTGTGTGTGTGTGATGTTTCCAAGAAGATAGCCTAATGATTTCTTCAAATCAGTGTTTGTATAGTGGTATGGTTAATACCTAGTGATAATATGTCACTAAGCTGCTTCCATTTATCGTAAGTTTTAGGGTTACTTCAGTGTTTTAAATAGACATGATCCTCTGCATAATCATTCAAAACATACATGGTGTTTGATGTCATATTTTTTCTTGCATGATAATTTCTCGAGCAGTTAACAAGAGAAAGCTAGGATGTTTCTAACCTTGAACAAGTTTGTTTTGGAGCACAAACTCACCTCTGGTGCCATCCTGGTACATTTTTTTCCACAGACAAGAAAGCTGCCTGCAAAGAGAAAATTTTTGTTTTTGAATCTTGCAAGGACTTGATACAGGTCCCTTCTGGTCGAGTACGTATTATTCACAGACTGGTGGCCTCTGAGGTTCTCAGAGGTACGACCATTTGTCCTCTGAATGATTCAATCTAACATTTTGTTGAGAATGGATCTTTCCCTGTTCTGAGTACTGAAATGAGAAAAAGAATCCATTCAAAATGGGGAGACTCATTTCCATCTGTCAGCATAACAAATGGCTTTGTTTCTACATGGCAAAGCATTTGTTCCTGTAACTAATACAGACTAATTGTTTTTTCATGAATTTTGAAACTGGGCAATCTGACAGAAAGTCTGTTCCAAATTATGAAGTGTGAGGAAGGCTCGTTCAACAGTTGCATCCTTGATTAACCCCATAGAAGTAATTATTATGTTCAAATATGTTCCAAAGCTTCTCCTTTCTACCTTCTGCCCATTGTTTTATCTCTGAGGAAGTCCAACATGAGACTGTTTGCGTATGTACTTGTCTCAAGAAATTATTTTGCAGAATATAAGATTATTGAATGTTAAAATACTTTTCAGTATTTTCACACAGTTTGGTGGAAGATGAAAATGGCCAGGTCTTTTATATAGAATTTGTGTACTTTGTACTTGAAAGTCTACCCTGAATGCATTTTGAGCTTGCCTTCCATTTATTTTGTTATCTGGGTAGAAAACTACAAACTAATGCTTAGGAGGGGAAATACTGAAGAGTTTTGGTTCTATTATTTCTAATTTCTCATTGGCTTGCTACTGTTCTTCACCTGCAACATGGAATTAATTTACGATAGTGCTTGCTTTTGCAAAGATGAAAGATTAAAACTTTTATTTGAAATTAAATGCATTTACTACCTCAATTTGGGACTGCATTGCCAGATGTAGTCTGGCAATGTGAATTGTGGAGTTTTTATGCTGCTTTCATTATCAAAATGAAAGCTAGTATTTGCCTTTGGATGTATGATTCTGGGAGCTACCTATGTTTTCAATGGTTTCTTAACCTTCAAGTCTGTTCACATCTGCAGGAAGCTTCCAAAAACTTTCAGTACAAACAGATTTGAGATTTATAGGACAAAATACAATGGATTATTGGGTTTGACTTGCAGAATTTCTCTATTAATGTACATTATTATTAATGTACATTATACTATATTATAATTAGAAGCTGATTTTTTTTTTTTTAAAGACCTGCAAATTAACAGTTCGTGTTGCATACATTTTGGCAGATAAAGTTGATGTGTATGCAATTATAATGCATGCAATGTTACTGAATATGAGTGGCAGTAAAGGCAGGAGACAAAAAATATACAAGTAAGACAGCAAAAAGAGACTAAAATTATCCATAGTCACCTGTAATCTATACAAATTCTTATTGTGCCTACTAAAGTCTGAAACATCACTTGATACCTTGTTTGGAGATAACGCTCACTGCTGCTTTCCAAGGTACATGAGGCTGAAGGGGATGAATGCTCTGCATTCCAGCCCTACAACAACTGGATCTCTGGGATGAACACAATTTCTTTGTTCTTTTTCCTCCTTTCTTTTGACACATTTTATAAGATACAGTTTTAAATATATATATGTTTATATATAGGTTTATATAGGTATATATTCTTGTATCTCTGGTTACCTGCTCTAAGTGAATCAGCTTTGGCAGGGGAGTTGGACTAGGTGATCTCCGAAGGTCCCTTCCATCCCCTAACATTCTGTGATTCTGTTTTATATATATATCTGTCTATACATATATCAGTATATACATGTCCATACATATATACATGTATGTGTATATATATGTATATATCAGGAGCAGTCTGCCTCTTTTAAATGGACCAGCGTCACCTAAAATGACAACAGTGGAATGACATAGAAGTGTGGCAGCTGAGGCCTCTTGCTAGAATGGCAGTCTGTTAATCTAGTTTGGCTTTTTTCCATGCAATGAATTTCTAGCTGTTTAACGCAGGTCATATTTCCTCCCCTACTCTCTGCTTTACTTCTAACACACTAAAAGCTCTTTTAAAGGATTATATGTTAATAAACAGAACTGCATGTTATATTGTAGATCTTCTTGAAATAACTAATGCCAGTTTCTTTTGTATGTTTTTCAAGGAAATGTTTTTCTTTTTATGATGTTCTGTAATGTCCAGATGCATTGAAAGTAAAGCACATTGTCATTCTGCTGGGGGAAAAAAAATTCAATTTATTAAAAAAATTTATAGAAAATCCTTCTTTTCTTTCATGTTTAATGTGCAGAGCTTGAAATTTTGTTTGGCCTACATGTTCCTTTCAACATACCACTATTAATTCCTGGAATTTGCATAAAGTTGAAATTATTACAGATAAATTACACTCCTTTTGTTTACTGAAATAAAGCTTGGATGAGATATTTATGAAATTTTTACCAGCTAGACCACTTGAAAGAGTAAATGCTGGTAACTGTCTTATCTCCTTTGATTTAACTTGTTTTCTTAGTGTTTCTCTCCCCTAGGAACTATCCCTCACTTCCTAGAAAGATGAGAGAGACTATTTCTGCCGTCGTGCAAGGTTGTAGGCTGAGCAATTAGCGGCTAGAACTATGTCCCATGAAACTGCTATACTGAGAGGAGTGACTGTGCCTTAACTTATCCTTTTCTGGACTCAAACACTGTGCTAAACCTTTTTCTTTTTGGTGACAAGGACTACTGCTAGCAGTGATGCTCACCCGACCTTGTTGTGTATTTCTTAGACAAGGACGAGTGTTCGAAGGACAATGGTGGCTGCCAACACGAGTGCATCAACACAGTAGGAAGCTACGTTTGCCAGTGCCGAAATGGATTTGTGCTGCATGAAAACAAACATGACTGCAAAGAGGGTAAGTAGTAAGGTATTTGAATGGTTGATTATACAACTGTATTACAGAAAGGTCTCTGTAGCTCTCCTTCCAAGGAAAATAAAGGAAACAGAAAGGTCTTGGCAATGGGAACTTAGACATTTGCGTATAAACAGCCCCCCACCCTCCCTGTCCCATCCCCTCTATCCTCAGCATTTGTGTGTGGCTGAGTTTGAGGTCCACAGGAATGCAGTTTGGACAACTTGGGATCATTGGCAGGGAGTGTTACTTTGAATAGTGTTGTGAAGTGCAGAACATTTAAGGCTGTAGTGGAGTATTCATCTAATGTTGTATTAAACAGAGGGATAGTGTTGCTGGAGAGAAGTCCAATAAAGTTGCCATTTGCTCCTGTCAGTAGCAGTTAGTTTCCTTGCAGTCACATTGAAACTGTATCTGCCCTTTCTGGGTTCGTTTTAGGGGATATATTCAGACAATCTAAATTCCCGTCAAGTCCCTATGCATCTTTCTTCCTATCTGCTGTCTTAAGGTATGTCTACCTCCAAGAAAACAGTAGGCTTTGGGGCTAGAGTAGAATTTAGATTATCTACAAATGAACGTTAAGGGTGCAATATCATGTGAACTACTGTAACTTCTCAAGGCTTTATTCTGGAATTGATTTAATTTGTGAGTAAAGATGTGCCCCTTTAGGAATCACTTGCATTATCACTGGTGTTGGAATAATGCTTGCTCTATAAGATTCCTTTTGAATAATTCTCATGTTTATAAAGAAATTAGAGATAGTTAAAAAACTAAATAAAAAAAATGAAACTGGTTTCTTCCTTGTCATCTAAGTTTTATTTCTTTGTATTTATTCACAGAAAGGCACTTCTGATGATTCAGTTATGATGTGAATGACTAATCTGTTCTTGGAACATATTCACAGTTTAGTCTTAGATGTTCTCCAGTTGTATGTATGTCCCTAGAAACAGTGATTTAGAAATCAAAATGATTGGTCTGCAGCTGCAATAAGAAAAATAGGGAGAGGAGAGAAAAATAAATTGTTCAAGAAATATCATTTGAAGTTGGAGTAACAAGATTTCTCATATAGATTTTCACACTTATTTGTATGTAGAATGGGGGGAATACAAAAATGCTTGATTAAATTTTAATGCTTATGTATATTCCTTTATAATACTTAAAAAACCCAAAAGCTCCTATTGTAAACAACCGTGTAGGTTTCACAACAATCAATAAAAAGTCATGCTGGGTTAATTGCCATAAACTGTTTGCCAAAGGGGAAGGACGTGATCATGCACAGTGAAGAGCATGCTTAGCTGCCTTCATAAAGATTGTTTTGATTCAGTGCGTCCCCCGTCAAAAAATATTTTTCTGGCTAGCTCTGAATGCAGACCCCCAGATTAACCGGTGCTGTCTGTGTTGGTACAGCTGAGTGTGAACAGAAGATCCACAGTCCCAATGGCATCATCACGAGTCCCAACTGGCCCGACAAGTATCCCAGCAGAAAGGAGTGCACGTGGGAAATCAGTGCCACACCTGGGCAGAGGGTCAGATTGGTGAGTTTCTGCCTACCTTTCCTTTTTCTTTTTTCTTCCATCAAACCTGCTTCTGTTGGTTTGACTACCCAACAGTAAAAACCTGTGACTAAACTTTACTGTCAGTTTGCAGCCCAGAGGTAAACTGTTCTAAAAACCTGCTGACTCCTGTCTATTCCTGGCCAACTGGGGCTACTCAATATCACAGAGCTGAGAATTTAAGTTTGTGGTGATTGTAAATACTCTGGACAGCAAAGAGCAGGAGGAATAATCTTCTCCTGTCAGTCTGTGTTATACCATTGTTGCATTTCATAAAATTTTCACAAAGTTTTGACAAATACGGCAGAGGCCATTTATGCAAACTCCAATATATAGAATAAGCAAAATTGGAAGTTATGTACAGTCTTCTCCACACACGTTTTGCATTTCTATTCTGTACTTTTCAAGAAGGAAAAGAAAATACAAACCCCAAGAATCTGGACCTCTAATTTAAAAGTGGCTCCAAATGTTAACTTAAGTAGAAAAGTAGCCTAAATAGAGTAAAGTGACCTTTGTGTCCAGCTAGCTGAGGACATTGCTGGTGGCTGAAGATAGGCTAACAGATCTTAGGGAACTTTACAGATCTACTGAGATTATGTAGCCTCTGTACAAAGCCAAAGGCATGGACCTGCCCAGGAGACTTTTCTGCTTTGAGATCAGCTCCAGTGTTCCTTCAGTGAGTACTCAGGGGACGACCACAATAAAAGCTGCCTTGACATATTTTACAATCTGATAAATTGATTTAACAAGTGTTTTACAGCAAATAAATAAGCTTAAGAAGGGTGATGTGTTTGCTTCAGAGAGGTAGATAAAATAGGCAGTATTGATGCATGGATGAAAGGGATATTGTCATCTCATAACTGCTGACCTTAGCCAAAACCATAACCCCTGTTACTGGTGCTGATGTGGGATCATGTATTGATCCCTGATCACCAGAAGGAAAATGGTTAAACTGCTTGAAGGGGTGCAGGGGTTGGAAAATGAATGGTATGCAGGCTCTGTCCATTCAAAGGGTGAAAACCAGGTTTTTGATCCAGCCAGCTTTCCTACTGCCACTTCTGAGCAAGTGTTCTTCATCCTGGCTGAATAAATCAAAGCCAGCCAGGCATGGGCACGGACATGTTAATGGAAAAGCTTTTTTAGTACTTTTAACCTCAGTGGCCAAAATTCCAGCATTTGTATTTCTTCAGTGAAGTAACACATCTACTAAATTCTGTGTGTATAATACCTTTAAAGTCTGTCCAGTACAGCAAGATGCCATATCAATAATAATAATATTAATACCATACTTCCATGATAGATAAATATTTTTTTCTTGGACTTCGGCAACATATTTAAGTTTACTGTTCACAGTTTACTTAGAAAAATTGAACAAGGAAAAGAATTGTTTCTTCATGGTAACAAACCACATGAATAGTGAGGCTGTACTTAATTTTTTGAGAAGGTGTGTGTGTACAGATGTCTTCTGTGGTGATTTCTTTCATTTTGATAATCATTGAAATATCTACTTCTAGAAAGATTGAAGTTAAGCATTTGGTGTAATTAAGAGGCCTATGAAAAAATAAATATACATTTCAGAATTTTTAAATTAGATGTGTAGATAAAGATGTCTTTGAAAATGTATGTAGCAGAGAGAGAGATTTTCATAAGCTAATCAGCCGGATGTTTATAGGAGACAGGCTTAAGTGTCCCATTCAGGCAGCTATCCATAAGTGGCACCAACATATCTACTCAGTTGAGTGCTATAGATAGAAAGGGCTGGATGTTCAGGAGCTATATGCAACATTTCTGAATACTATCCCCACTAATGAGACAATCAAAATGGGGACTGTAGACATGATGGGGTAGGTATTCAAAAGCATTTGTTCCAGGAGATGGAGTGGGTTTACTTATACTACCAATTTAATTAAATCATCTGTGAACTCTGTTGGCATCAACTCTTCAGTCGTGTTCAACTTTAAGGAAAGTTTGTGCCAGTTCTCCTCTCCCAAGCCTGCTCTTAGTCCACTTCTGGGAAATGGCTGCTTTTAAAAAAAATGGAGAATCATCTCTGAGTGTTTTGAAATATTAGGCATTTTGAGTTCTTAAAGGACTTAAGATTTACTTTAAAAAAACCCCAAAACACAAAAACGAAAAACAAACCAACAAAAACCCAAAAAACCAATGCCTTTGATTTTCTTTGTAATTGTTAGAATCAGCTGTTAGACTCACAACAGATTTAGGACTTTTTTCTGTTCTTTGACCAAATATAACACGTTCTGTCTCCCTGCAGACTTAGGTATCTCAGTGATAAGTCAAATATTAAAAATAATTGGTGTTGTACACTTCATGGTGAGAAGTGTTTCCTAGAGAGTGAACTTTTTGTACTGATGACAATTGAATAAAACTGATATAAGTTTCCTCTAAAAGAAAACTAAATTCTGCAGGCTGCTTTTGGCTCACACTATTACTCCCGTCAATTCCAAGTTGGCTTGACTCAATTCTATATTTAACTAACTCCCTTACATTTAGTCTCTCAGCTTTCTGGCCTGTTTTTTTCTTTCTTTCTTTTTTTTTTTTTTCTTAATCCATCAGATTTTATTTGGGTTTAAATGGCAACACGTACTTGGCATCATAAAAGCAGGATGGCTGACTACAATATAAGAGCAGCAGGAGAGACTGCTGTACAGCTGTTTTCACTGCCTCTGCAGTTTTGTTCCCTCAATAAACCCCTTAAACTTTCCTGTGAAATGAACCTACATCCACTGCATCATGCAACTCTTCACATTTCACAAAACAAGTGTGTTCTGAATATTCCAGTCCTTTCAGCAAAAGGCTTTGTGTTAGCTCTTTATATTTCCTTTAGGTTAGCTGTTAATATAAATTGCCATCACATTTCACACTGGCTGGATCCAACAAAGGATTCAGTAGGTCAGGTTTGTTTTGGTATACCAGGTAAAATGCGCAATTGTGACATTTGTTCAGTATTTGAGAGTTCAGTTATTCTTTTTAATTATTTCTTCTTAATCCTTTACTGTTTGCTTTGCTTTTTTTTTTTTTTTTTCTGGGGGGTGGGTGTGGGTCATAAAGAGTCAGGTATATGACTACTCATGGGAGTATTTCTACTTAGCACTTTTATGCTATTCTGTTGAATAAAACAGATTTTGAATTCCATATTAAATTGTTGGTAATTTCTGAAAATTCACAAAGATGTGCATGTCTATTGCCCTCTCAGTGTTTACGTGAAAGGAAATTACCAGATTTCAAGATTTAGGTTTCTTGCTGAAATGTAGCCCTGGTCAAAATTCTTATCTGAAAAGTCTTAGATGACCTCTTGAAATAAATTTGTTGATACCAGTCAGTCTTGGAAGATACTCTTCCATATTTGAAAAACAATTATTTGCTGTATGTGTTTTAACAGTTTCTCTAGGGTACAGCATACAACTTTCAGAAATGCCTGTGGATGGACAGTGAGTTTGAGAAATCTAAATTCCAAAAGTTTGTAAATGTAAGTTGGCCAGGCTCTGCTCCAAAGGATTTGCAATTTACAATTAATTTTTAAGATGAGAATTTAGAGAGGCTGAGACTCCCTAGGAGCTCAGAAATTAAATAATGTTTTGAAGTGTAGAAGAAACATTACGGATTTGAAATGAAGTAAAGTTTGTGAGCCCCAGTTTGTGTTCGGTCTATGGCAGCAAATTGAATTTTCTTGAGAGCTGAGGACAGCAAAATAGTCTGCTGAAGTTTTTTTTAATAAACAATGAACATTATTTTTTTTTTCCCCACAATGAAATCTTAGCATGAAGGGTGCAGCCTGAAAAATTGTTAGTGTTGTAATAATAAAAAATAAATCTCTAGATAATAGATTAGAAAATATAGCTTTCATGCGTAACCATTCATGTGGAAAGGTCATTCTCAAAGGCTTTAGTTGCAGTGTGAGGTAAATTTTAAAAAGAAGAAAAAAGTGTGTGGGGGTGCATTATGCTTTGCAGATGTTTCAATCAGTCCTCAACTATAATCTTCTGAATAATCCTAAAAACTGCAAATACAACAGAAAGTCCGTAGTATCCTAGATTCTCCATTCTTCTATGGGTATTTATTATCTATAAAGATTCTAGTCCCTTTCTATATGAAGGATGATGTCCTTTTAAAATTCAGTGTCTTAATTATTATTCCACTTTCTCAAAATCAGTATGTTATTAAAAGCAATAGACTTCTAGGAGCAGTAATGCTAAATCTGCCCTCTTAAGCACACCTACTTTGTATTCTGAAACCTACTAACAGTACATATGTACCATATAAATACAGTAAATGAGTACTACATTGAGTCATTTTGCTTTTTCTCCAGACCTTCAGTGAATTTGAGATAGAACAGCATCAAGAATGTGCTTATGACCACTTGGAAGTGTTTGACGGTGAAAGTGAAAAATCACCAATTCTGGGACGCTTATGTGGCAATAAGATACCAGATCCTCTTATTGCTACTGGCAACAAAATGTTTCTCCGCTTTATTTCTGATGCATCAGTTCAAAGAAAAGGCTTCCAAGCAACGCACTCTACAGGTCAGAAAATCAGGATGTTTTTTACTAATAATTTCCCCTTTGTTCTTTAGTGGAAGATATTCAGGCTTTTCTTTTCTAGGAGTCGGATGACTTAACAAATAATACAATGTTACAACTAAATCGAATGAAACTTTCAGAATAGTAGTAAAGCTCTGAGATTACAGAAAGTATTCTCTAATATTTTAGTCATATATCTGTCTCTCTCTCATAGATGATTAAAAGATTTTGAAACAGAATCAAAAAAAAAGAAGATATCATCATAGACAGTCTGAAATATTTCTTAATATTCATGCCTTTATTCTGTAAAAGTTTCAAGAGGTTTTAATTTTATTTGTAATGGCAATAACTTCACTGGGGCATGTAATGCACCTCCATTACTTTCCTTTTCTAACTTAAACAAAAGTCTGGGTTTTGTGTAAACAGCTATTACTTTCCTGTAGAGATAAAAAGGAACGTCAGGCCAAAGAAAAATAAGATAAAGCAACACTGAAGACTTTCTTAAGGTCTTAAGAATATAATCTCTTTCACATTTACCATTTAATTTTGTTCTTTGGCAGAAATCACTGAAATTAAAAATAGTGGTTTGCAATTGCATTAAGAAATTTCTTGCGACATTTTCAGTGTGTATACTTTTTCCTGAAGTTGCTTGGCTTACAGTGGCCCCTGGTGCTGACTCTCTGAACTTCCACTTCTTCCTGTAAGATGAGGGGTTTGGGGTTTTTTTAGTTTTGTTCTTCAGCTATAATGTCTGTGTTTACTTTCCAAAGTCCATTCTAATTCATCCAGTATTAGGAAATAAATATTAATGCAAAAAAATTATAAATATCTGTTGTGGTAGATAAGATTTACTGAGAGGTAGCAGTTATCAATAGAAGATAGTAATCAGGGAGATTAGTCACTGTTAATACCATTTGATATTATCCAAAGTATTCATCATGTTGATGTGTAATGCTCAACTAGCAAATCCCAATATATCAGTATTATCACTTTCTATTTTTCCCTTCTGTTTTGTTAAGAATTATTCTAAAACTTTAATATTTTAATTTCCCTTTCAAAGAAAGGCAGGAGGCAATAGTATATGAATTACTCACCCTTCATGATCTGGGCCTGGAAAATGAAAAGTTTAGCTACCTGTACCTCAATTTGGTTTTCTTGTGGAAAATCCTCTTTTACAAGCATGCCATAGTTTGCCTTTCCTACTACAGTAATCCCCTCCCTTAGATAGAAAATTAGATAGAAATGGTAATAATTACTCATTTTTAAATTAGCTTGGGGTAAATAGATAAAGGTCATAACTCTTCTTAGAAACAGGTGTTGTAAAATTAGAGCCTCATTTATTCTTCTCACAATTTGCAGCACTGGAGCAGCAACTATGTGAAAGAAGTTCAAATGTATACTAAAACTTCTAAAGATTGCTAGTTATGTTATGACTTGCTGGAATTTCCCTCATACCTGCTGAGTTTTATGTGCCTTAACTATAAAACGTTTCTTAGTATGCATAATAATGCTTTCCTGAAAACGTCTGAAGAATAAAATCAGCCCAATTTTTAAGAATGTTGTAAAAATGTAACATCTGTCTCCCTAAGAGAAGACACTTCTGTCAACTGCTGTTGCACAAGCTGCTCACTACGTCGAACATCACATCACCATCATGTGCTTTGAGGGAGTGTTTGAATAAGAGACAACTCAGATCTTGCAGCCTTTTCCTGCAGTCTTGAGCCAAACATAGATGCTCCGTGGGAATATAACTTCTGTGCTTTGGACAGACAAGTGAATGAATAGCTATCTAGCAAGTTTATAGACAGTGGATTGTATGTCCTTATTTTATTTTTTCTAGCAAATACTAATTGATGGTATGCAATAGCAGTAGGCAAGGTTGTACTCAATCCTGCATAGCTATGCAGAGAGACAGGGAGAGCTGTGGAAGCTGCTTCCTTCAGTTCTGACCTCTGGGCAGAACTCAGTAGAAGGACCTGTGTAATGTAACTGGATTCTATGCCCAGAGATGTCTGTGCTGCTGTATTCCTGGTATCTTCATGATTTAATGGCCTCTTACTCCAGAGGTCCCAATGGTGATGTTGATTTTCCTTTCGTGACACTTTCTGGCTTGAAACACTATCCAAACTCCAGATTTCCTTTGAATATCTCAGACAACAGGATAAATATGCTAGCAGAGGAGGCAATAAAGTTTTAAAAAAAATAGATTGGATAGAGGAGTTTCCTTGGGTGGAGGAAAACCTATGAAATGCTGCTTTTAAAGTGCAATGTGGTTTTAGGAAAAGGTTGTGTTATATTTTCCCTCTTGGAGAAGGCATAACCCATCCAAAAGGAGGTTATAAAATGCTCTTGACAGAATGTTAAACATCATTGCCCATGGAGTAATTGGGTTGCCCTAACACAAGCATCCAGTTTCCTTCTGTAAGGCCTCATTCATGGTGCCTGGCCTCCAGGCACTGCTGCAGGAGGCTGCAGGTCTGCTGTAGGTCCTGTTCCTACTTGCTAACCTTGGGAGGATGTCTCTGACAAATTTGGGCACCTCAGATGTCACTCAGTTTAGACTCCTGTATTGCTTCTAAAATGACTGTGATAATTCAACATGTCTATGCTCTATCAAACTTATAATCTTTTTTTCCACTAGTTCAGGTAGTGTGGACTTAAGATTACTATCTGTGTAGCTTGTTAAACAGTCTAGAGACTACTACACAATTTGCTCTTATGTTTGTGAGAAGCCCATAGAAAGGGCAGGAAACAAGAAAGGGTTTTAGTTCCTTAGCTGATCTAGAAAAATGTCTTTAGCCTAAAGCTCTCAGATCAACAGCATTTTACAAGTCAGGCACATTTCTTTACAGTCAGATCTATACATCATGTCTACAGCAGAGCAGGCGTATGTGCACAATGATGGTCAGTACAGCTAGGTTAGTCCTGGTATCAGGACTGAGCAAGTGCTGCTGCATGGCACTGCTCTGCTCTGTGCAGACCCATCACAGCCTGTCCCACCCCACCTAATGCCCACCACATTGTGCGGGCTGGATCTAGAGGTTTTAAACTAGAACTTAGCCCTTAAGAAATTGAAAATTTGACATCTAAATTCTCAAATTGATACTTTATCCTAAAATGTATGGCTGTATAATACATGGGAGAGGGGCAAAGGAAAGTTAATTGCCATTTTCTGTAGTTGCTAGTATGACTACAACTTTCTTTTAAGCTCCTGTCTGCTGTAGCTAGCAGATAGAAACAATGCAGACAGTTCATTAAACATTTTCTCCTTAGCAGCTGTTCTGTGTCTGAAGCAGGGAGATGTTCTTGCTGTTGGCAGCAGTCCAGTCAAAAAAACCAGAGAAGTAAATGTACTTAAGAAAAAAAAAAAACAACGGGAGTGGGGAGGGAGAGAGAGAGAGAGGATCAGTAAATTAGAATACTAGTGAGAAATAACTGTTCGAACTCTCTCATTTGACAAATTTTCTTTATCATGTGCTCTTATCTGTTCTTTAAAAAAAATTTTGAAATTTCAGAATGAACAACAGATCATGCATAATGGACTACTCTACGTATATAATTAATATTTCCTGCTTTGATTCCTTAATTTTCTTATTACAAAAAACACCGTATTTTTTTAAAATAATGATTTGGTCATTACTGTCATCCATTTCCAGATGAAATGTGATTCCTCACAATATAACATTGCACTTGGTCATGTATAATGTGGGTGGAATACATTGCACTGAAGTAAAATTCAAATTATCTCTTCATGTTATAATATCAGGTTATTATAAAATGATCAGTTTATAAGAGCTATGTTTGATCAAAATGCAGATAGAATTATCTGTTCATTTATTTATAAAACACGAATCTAAACTTGCAAGGTACTTTGCACTTGGTGTTTGTACAGTGGTATAAGGGATGAATTGCTCTTGATGAGAAACCAGATCAAAATTATGCTGTTTTCATTGAAATCTTTGTATCTGTAAAGAAAAAGAGCCTCCACCCATCTCTTGGAAACATAAAAAACAATGTTGTTTTTTTTTTAAGTACAATTTTCCATCTGTTGTTGGTTACATTGTAATAGAACTTTTAACTGGCAAACACATAGCATCTATATGTTTAAGTTAGTGTAGAAGTTAAATTCATTGGCTGTTTAGGATAGAATACTAGTTTTAGTTATAGCTGCTGAAAATATTTAGAAAGGGTAAATTACTAGATGCTGGTTTGTTGCTTTTAGTGGGATATTTGTCATTGTTGTTCAATGCATTTTCAGCAATTTCTGTTCTCCTTCAGCAAACTGGCTAAAGAACAGCTTGTTGGACTATACAGTAAAGATCATTCATATTTAAATTATTAACTGTTTGGGCAGTTATAAACAATCCCTAAAGCAACACATGCATTTTACTACTGTGTACAAATAGAGATTTATACTGTAAATACTGTTTTGGCATAGGGCACGGACCTCCAGCTCAGGACTTACCTCAAGAGCAGGCTTTTAGATGCAAAAATTCTCTTGTAGTAGCAACTTTCTCCAGGCCACAATCTTTTGCCCTGTTCATGTCCACAAACCATGCAGTGAACAAACTAGTGAGCTTGGCAGTGGTGTTTGATACTGAGCTGGTTGTTCAGGCAGCACATGATGGTTAAAGCTGGTACTCTTACGAAACACAGGATTTTAGCAGTTGATTGCTGGCTGGCTGCACATGGGCTAGAGCTGATCCTCCCCTGCCACTTGCAATGGTGATGTTAACACATGTGGAAAGGCTATCCCCACTGAAATGTGGATGCCTCACTTACAGGACTTGTCTTGCTGGCCACAGGTACCTCTGAAATGTCTGCTATAAGAATGTCCTGCCTCTTGAACCACATTCCTTACAACTTTGATGTTCTCTGCCTTTTGGTCTTTCAAGTGAAAATGATGAATTATGCTCTAGTTTCTGTAGTTATAAAACAGAACTTGTATAGAGAAAACTCAGAATGATGGGTTTGTATTCACACTGGGTAGTACTTTACACCTTGTTTGGTTGACCTGCTTATAGAATGAAAATCACTCAGCCTTCAAACTTCTTTGTTCTTATTTTTTTTCTCTGTTTTAGAGTGTGGCGGTCGCCTGAAAGCTGAAACCAAGGCCAAAGATCTGTACTCGCATGCTCAGTTTGGTGATAACAACTATCCAGTTCAGGCAGACTGCGACTGGCTCCTGGTGTCAGAGCATGGCTATCGAGTCGAGTTAATGTTTCAGACTTTCGAGGTTGAAGAAGAAGCAGACTGTGGTTACGATTACGTGGAGCTCTTTGATGGCCATGATAAGACAGCTGTGAGACTTGGTCGATTTTGTGGATCTGGGGTAAGTAATCAGGTACTAAACTTTTTATTTCCACAACAAAAAGAATATGAAAGGCAGGGCAGAGGAAGGAAAGAGTCAAGAAAGGATGAGGTTCTGTTCCTACACATTATAATAAAGATACTAGATTACGTGCTTCAGATTATTGGGTTTTTTTAAATATAAATTTGCAGGCTGGTAGTACAAGCATTCCCTTGAAATATATTTAACACTAAATATTCTTATCTAGTTTTTGACAAAAGTATTATAATGATATGTTAAGCTTTAAGTAGCTGACAGTGGAGTGTTTATCAGCCTTTAACCCACAAAAAGGGTTAGCACCTTTTTCCCTGACAGAGAGTGAAATGCACTGGTGTTCAAAATTATCACATTAAAATTCTTTCAATTTGAATGAAGAAGCCACATTTTATAGGGGGAGAGGCTCCTGGGAAGCATTTATAATATGCTAATCTACTCCTTAAGTCTGATTTTAGGAAAAAAAGTATTCCTAAACCGTGTGATTAATATGGACCCTCAAAAGCCCTGTTGTCCCATATGCATCTCTGGCATGTATTAACTGGGAGGCAGGGAGGAAATTGGCTAGGTGATATCCTGAAAAGGATGTATCCTATTTCTTCTTTTAGACTTGTATTGTTCTGTTGGCTGCATGCCTTGTGAAAGCTGGTGCAATGATGCCACAAGTCCTCACCAATTCTTTGTATGTGTGTAAATGCAAACACGTTTTCAGACATACACTCTTTGCCTAGATATAAAAGGTTTTAAAGACTCCACATGAGATGATAGGAATGCTTAATTAACCCCATGTATTTTTTGATTCAGCCATAGTGCTGGATCAAACATGGGTTTTATTGTTGGTTTAGTTCGGGTAAGGTATGGATCAATAGCTTCAGAGGCCATGTAGAAAAGATGGAATGAAACAGGAAAGCTATTGAAAGCAAAATAATCCAGTCTGAAGCTGGTAATTCTGATCAGTGTGCTTCAGCAACAAAACAGGCCATCATGAGGGCTGTGTAGAATAAGATGGAAAACAGGTACTGGTGTTTGTTGTTTATCTAAATTCAGAATATTGTGTATGGTCCTGTCCAGTCAGTTACATGACTCCAGCAGAAGTACAGATGACATCTGGGAAGGACAAAAGAACAAGGACCTTTGTTTTTTTTGTCTCATAAAAAAAGATTGCAGAGATACTCCATACAAATGGGAGAAGCTAAATCAGATTCAGAAAGTATGATACCACATTTATTTAGATTGTGTGAAAAGATGCTTTTCAGGCCCAGAGCTCAAGATTGAAAGAGTGCACATTAATACAAAAGCAAAGAGTTATAGTAAATAATTTCAAAACTTCTGCGAGCTGATAAAATTCCAAACATCATGATTTAAGCTGACCTCCAGCTTTTGGGAATTTAGTTCGTCATTTTGTCAGTCTGCCTCTAAAATTCCTAGCCTGTAATTGAGAGCTGAATGAGATAAGTGTATTCTGTCTGATGATGTTAGATGGCACTATGGGAGGCCCTGTGGAATTACACAACAGGGCATAACAGGAAAAGAGAAATATCCATAAGAAAAAACAAGTGAATAGATGGCATAAATACACGGCGTGGACAGATAATTTATTTTTTTATTTGCTTCTTTTAGCCACCAGAAGAAATTTATTTTGCTCTTTTACTTCACTTCCACACTGATGATACAATCAACAAGAAAGGATTTCATATACGATACAGAAGTATAAAATATCCAGGTAGTGTGCACACCAAAAAATAACACAAGAACCTCTATGTCAGAAAAGGAGGGTGAGAATGAAAGAGTGCACAGTGGAAAGGAAGGCCTGTCATTTTTTTTGTGGTTGGTTTTTTTTTTTTTTTTAAACTGAAGTTATTAGCACATATGTTTTATATAAGTTCAGTTGAAATCGCAACTTATAAGACCAGAGACTGAAATAAAGTTAAAAAAGAAAAAAAACCCAAACCTATCCCAGTGGAATAGTCAAGATGATGGTGTGCTTCATACTTGACTGTCTCTGCAAAGCTTGTGAAAGGACTTTGCATGCAGGGAGAATATAAAAGCTTTTGTTCCTGGTTTGACGTTTGTCATAGAGGCGTGCAGATTTAATCAGTTGCATTCAGGGTAAGTGACCCCACAGACTGTTCTTTCTTCTTGACAAATGTATGGTGTCCAGGAGGGAAAAAAGCTCTTTCAGGTCACACATTCAAAAATACTGTCCTTGTATCTGGTCGCTTTGTCTTTGTAACCTGCATATGGTGTATACAAGGACTTGAAAGAAAATATGAAATGGGAAGATCTTCCTGCATTGTTCTGTTTTTTTTACAAATTCATCTGTCATATCAGGTTATCAGTGTTTTAAAACTGGAAAATCCTACTTCTGAAACATAAATGATCTTTAGAGTAATTTTGTTTTACTAATGACTGAGAACTCTGAACTGTTACATTGGTCATCCATCAGTTGACCCCTCACTAGCTGACTGAATTTAAACAGTGTAAGCATCTGAAAATGTTTGGTTTACTGATTAAGTAAGCTATCTGATGATGTGCTCTTATTTTGCACTGAACGTAGACTGGAATGAAAACCTGTCTTGAATCAAAATCTGTATCCATGTGAAACAAATAGTCAAAGATCACCTGAAACTCCTCCTACTGAATTTGTTTTCAGCAGCACATTTGGAACCACTACAAAGCTTTGTTTCTTTGGATCTCTTCGTGAATGAGTTGTCTGGTTTAGCTACTCAGAAACGAAGCTGCAGTAGTATCCAAGAGGGAGGTTTCCCAAAATTTTTTTTTCTGGGAGTAAGAGTATCTGTGATGATGAAAACAGCAAAGCAAAAGACCCAGGATTTATTTGTTATCAAGATTGAATTCCTATGGTGCTATTCCATGAACATTAAAAACAAAAACAAACCAAGAAGTTTTAGACTTTTGAGCCAACAGCTTGCAGATCATGAATGTCTCACTACGCCTGGCTGCATCTGGAGAAGGAAGGCTTTACTGCTCCAAGGGAGAGTGAGTTGCAACAGCAGCACTAGTCCTGTGGAACAACTACTACTATTGCCTTAGAATCCTCGCACATGGTCAGACAGATCTTCCTGTAGATACACCTCTAATTTGATAAATAATTCGACGACTCTGACATCTTAGCATACGCTAACAAAAGGATCTTCAAGCGAAAGCCCCATCTGCAGAGCGAGATCATCTGCTGTAAATACAATGACCTGCTTTTGATGTAGAGATATGTTACGTTTAGAACTGAGATATTCTATGTGCTTTAGGCCATACATGGCTTTAGTCATAATGTATATGCATTATGTAAGTATTGTATGAACGAGTGCTCCAGGCGAGTGAGAGGTATTGTATGGGTGAAAATTGACTTCTGTTTCTTTATGTGCCAAGTTCTATCAGGACCCTGTTTGACTGTAGCAACTTTTCTTTAAAGGCTTCATAGACAGATAACGAGGACTTCTAGTTGGCAAGAATCAAGTTTAAATGAAGTATTATGTTTCACTTACAAGAAATATTATTTTGATATCCTTTGATGTAAGTTGCTACTCAGATTAGCTTAGTTTCTGTTACCTTACCATGAACATACATTGGCACTAATAAATCTGATCTTTTTTTATAAAAATAAAACCCAAGCGTCTGTATAGGTGTCTTTGGTTGTTTTAATAGCACTATTGCTGCTTGTATATTACAGTTTTTCTTTCCAGACAACTTAAGTGTGTGAGGTTCAAAAACTGAAGAATTTCTGTATTTTTATAATACTGCTCCACTGTCCTTTTGTTTGGTTCATTTTTCAGGATGTTTGCACAGCTTAACTGCAAACATTTTCTCTAAGCCCTTTTACATCAAAATTCAGGCAGAAATATTACTATAGTTAAAAAGAAAAAAAGGCAAGCAGCAGCATAAGCAGTGTCTCTCTGGCACAAGTAGTCAAAAGGACTTGGGAAAGTCTAAGGAGACTGAAAAGGAGTCTGAAAGTCTCCTCTGAATATTATCTCCCTTCTATTTCCTAAACAAAATATTTGAAGTCTTCCTTTTCTCTAAATTTGACTTTTTTATTCCCCTGAGGGTTACTTTAACAACCACACAGTTGAACCAAGTTTATTATTTTTTGGAAGGTTTTTTTTTTGATGTTGCTGATTCATACAGGCCCTTACACAAATCCTACTGTCCTACGTTAAACAGTGCTACTGGAGTAGTTGGGGAGGAAGGTTAGATTGGGCAAGTGGTGGCAAAACCACCATAGAGTGTGTTTCCAAGACCCTGTGGAAGGTGATTCCTTTCAGTCATATTAAAATATCGCTTTTGAGCACAGTATGTCTGGGATTATTTCACATGGCATACGTAGAAGTCAAAAGAGTATTGCCATAACTTTGGATACAAAGTTTATTTGTCTTATTGTTTATTCCTTTGTACATCCCATATGCTTAAGAATGGTGAAAATGAGGAAGGTGTTCTTAATGATTATCTTGCTAATAAATGGACCATATGGATCATATCTTTGCCTTGACCATGATCCTAGTCATAGCCTCATGGTGCTATTAGATTCTATTAAGGATGTAGATATTTCCAAGTCCTGGGAGGATTTTCCTGATGTAATGAAAATTTCATATTCACTGAACTCCTCATGTAATGGAAGTATGTCTTATGAATAGCCTAACAACAAGAAAACAAGAAAAAATAATTTATGCTGATGAAATTGTGAAAACCAATGTGGACTAGCCCCAAAAAATCTTTGAAACAGAGAAATTAGTTCACAACATATTGATTAAAGAACTTGCCTATTGAGTAGTGAACAAAACAAGTTACACAATACAATGGGCTGGAGATCCACCTTTGAGACCTAGTTGCAATATACACTCCCAGCAGGGTGAATCATGGAATAATAGAATGGTTTGGGTTGGAAGGGACCTTGAAGATCGTCTAATTCCAACCCCCCTGCCATGGGCAGGGACACCCTCCACTAGACCAGGTTGCTCAAAGCCTCATCCAGCCTGGCCTTGAACACTTCCAGGGAGGGAGCATCCACAGCTTCTCTGGGCAACCTGTTCCAGTGCCTCACCACCCTCTCCGGGAAGAATTTCTTTCTGATATCTAATCTAAACCTCCCTGCTTTTAATTTAAACCTGTTACCCCTTGTCCTGTCACTACAGGCCCTTGTAAAAGTCCTTTTCCAGCTTCCTTGTAGATTATACTTATTCTGCTTCCTTTTTGATGCAAACTTTCTTGACTCTGGGTAAGCTTCTGCATTCAAATTAATTTCTTGTAACATGTCATAAAATTTTCTTTGCAGCTATGTAAAGAGCTTCTGATGTGGGCTGAGTATTATTCTTTAATGTCGTTAAATTCAACATAAAGTTTATGAAATATGCTGATTTGTGTGGCTGACTGGCTCTTGAAGAATTTAAGTCTGTAGCAGACCAAACTCTGTGATCAATACCGTTGTCAAATAAGAGGGAAGATAGCTTCATGAAAATCTTTCCTTCCATCTTGACAACAAAAAAATTATCAGTGAAAGTCAACTAAAATGTCTGCCTTACATAAGAGCTGTGAAGGACTAGCTGAAGTAAATAAAGAAAGGTAGGTGTACACAAAACAGATACTCCGTTCTTTTCTGGCCATTTGTTATAGTCTGCAACATATTTGAGTAATCTTCTCTTGCTCTGAGACCCATGAAACAGCGAGTTGACCTGAGCGTGGGTGAGAGCCAAATCAGATCTTTAAGTTAGTATTGCAGCATTTCTTTTTCATTTAAAACAGATTGTTTTTGAACCACTGTAAATAATTAGATTAATTGGGTGGAAGTTTTATTCACCTGGGGAATCAGTTTTGCAATTTTGCTATATTGCCAAGGGTGCAAGTGGCACACCTGATTTTTTATAGCAGAGGAAATTGTTGTTGACCTCATGGGTTGTGTGTTGTGCTAACTCTAGCTGTGTCCCACACCACCATAGAGTGTGGTCATTGCTGAGGCACACTAGAACTTTGTTTTATGATTAAATGGTTCTGTTCTGCCAAAATTTTAGGATCTCAGAGTTTAGGGACCTGGTATAGGTATGTAATTTCAGGAAAGTATTCAGTCTTAAAATAGACCTAATCAGTAACCAGAGGGGAATTTGTCTTCAGGTCTTAAACTGAGTCCAAATGAGTAATAGCAAGGAATGGCTTTTATCACATTAACGTATGTGATCATACAGATTGGCACAACCTTATCTACAGACTTGTTCTTATTTTGATTTTATCATTGGTTATTATGATTTGGTTACTAACTGATCACCCAAAAACAGAAAGAGGAGCAAGAACAAACAAAATGTCTGGAAAAAGAAAATGGAAAGATACCACAGATACAATTACAGTACTTAAAAAAAAAAGAAAAAAAAAGTAATCTCTGAAGTTAATACTGTTGCTGATACATTAATTTTTCAATGTATACTTCATATTCTTTAAAAATGTTTTATGCTGTATTGCTTTTACTTATCTGAAGCAAGAGTTAGATGACTAATTACATCAGTTAGTGAATTTTTCAAGCAGAGAACTGAAGACAACCTAAAGGAATGACTTCTGGTTCCTAATGATGCATATCCCGAGTAAGTACCTGTTTGTGACGGGTGTAACACTGGGCTGTAGCTCTTATAGGTTGGGTTTTTTTGCCCTCTAGCACTCTCAAGTTTTGGTGCTCTAAGCTGAATACTTGAGGCAACATTTTATATTATTCCTTTTGCTATAATTCAACTTATCAAAATAATAGGTAGATGCTTAATACCATTGTTTGATGGAATCAGGGTGAAGTAAGTCTGATTAAAACAAAAAGAACAAAGGAAAATACATGTTGAAAGTTATTCCTTGTCAGAAAATGTTCACATTTCTCCTGGTTTGTCATTCTGAGTTCAAAA